ACACTTGTAATACAAAAACTCCTCCTCCTTAAGGTCTGAGCTTTCTCCCATTGAAATAAAATACTAACGATGATGATAACCAGAGGTGAAAGTAAGCCGGTACACCCCGGTACAGTGTACCGGGGCCTGGCTTCCCCAGGCAGCAATTTAAAGGGCTTGGGGCTTCCAGCAGTGGCTGGAGCCCCAGGCCCTTTCAATTGCCACCAGAGCCCCGCTGCTGGAGCTCTGGAGGAGCAGCAGCGGGGCTCCCGCTGCCTCTACTGCCCTGGGCCCTTTAAATAGCCGCTGGAGCCCCGCTGCCGCCACCCCAGGGCTCCGGGGGCTATTTAAAGGGCCGGGGCGGTAGAAGCAGGGGAGTCCCGGGCCCTTTAAATAGCCCCCAGAGCCCGGGGGGAGCCGGTGCCGATTGGGGGCGCCGCGGGAGTTTGCCGGGCCCAGGGCGGTAGCAGTGGCCGAGCCCTGGGCCATTTAAACTGCTGCCGGAGCCCCCGGCTGCCGCTGCTACCCCAGCAGGGGAGGGCACTTACCGGTACAGGACGGGCCGGGGCTGGCTCTGACCCCCGCATCCCTGCCCGAGGCCCCGCCCCTTCCGGGGGCCAGAGCCGGCCCCAACCCAGCCAGTCCCTATTTCTACTTTCACCCCTGATGATAACCAATAGTAAATAACAAAGAAATCAAACTCTTCATGGAGTAAAGCACAGCCCATCACAAGGATGGAAGAATTAAAATTTCTGTGTCTACGAGAGCAGGACAAGTCCCTCTGAGGAGATTAATGTGGGGTGGAATCAAAGGACTTCTCCTGCCCGTCCACCATGCTCCTTCCCGCTCTCCCACAGCACATATATGTCATGTCTTTGAGGAACTCCTCTGCCAGTACCAATACAAACACATCAGCTAATTTTTCATGAGACAGGCAACATGCCCCATGCACTCAGGATCCTAAGGAACTGGTGGCTGCGATGTTATCGGCAGCCATTGTCCAAGCTCCAGGCAGTGCCACGGTTCAAAGCCACTTCACAAACAATGGGACGCTTCACCACAGGAGGTACAATTGTGGGCTGTTACCTCAACGAGCTTTGTACAGCAAAAGGCTCCTGCACAGCTCTACTAGCCACTCACATCGGCCACTGCATGGTAACAACACGTGCCCTGCAAGTGGCCTTAGGAAAGAGTAGGTGAAAAATCTATAGCTAGAAATCTCCTGTAGAATAAAGTGTCCATGTGATTCACCATTTCCCTCTGCTGTGAATAAACAGCTCCACAGAGGGAAAACAAGGAGTATTGGCAAAAAAAAATATGTAGGGGTGGGGATTTGAGGGAATCAGCCCCAGCCCCATACTGATCTGAATACTATGCCCTGCATTTTTGGATCCACTTATGAACTCCTTGGGTGGCTCTGTCTGAAGAGTTAATTCCACCGAGACACCTCAAACTATAGGGACGTTCAGATCTGAATCCAGCCCCCCAACTTCATAGGTGAGACTTCTCTCTTTCATGGACCTAACCCCTCTCTTCTCCAGCCCCATCCTAAACGTGGGAAAGCTCTGGATCCAGCTTTGCATTCAGAGTACATTGAGCCAGACTCTCGGCTAGTGGTAAGCAGGACAGCCCCTTTGATTTGAGAGGAGTTGTGCCCTATTTACGTTAGCTGAGAATCTGGCTTGCTGTCATGCGTATACTCATTTTCTTGATCGAGTGAAGGAGAAAAGGAATGAAAACAAATACAGACAAACCTCATGGGCCCATTCCTCTTTCTTTCATTCTATCCCCTTTTGTTTCCTACAAAAGAAAATTGAGCTCAGACTGATGTCTACCTCTTAAAATATTAAGATAATTGAACAGAAGCTGTTCCAATCCTGGCTCAGCTCTGAGGTTTGCCTACACACACAAGTTGCACCAGTTTAATTTAAACTGATTTTAAAATAGACTAAGTCCAAACCCTGTGTGGACTCTCAGACTGGTTTATAACTGGTTACGGTGGTTTAGTCTGCAAGCCAGGTTTAAATTGATTTAAGAGTGTCTGCACACAGACCTGCACTAGTTTAACTCCATCATTTTAAAATCAGAGCTTTAGTTAAGCCAGTGCAACTTTGGGCATAGACCTGTCCTGAGATTTGAGGATCTCAGTTCAAGCTCGGTACTACGGGTTAGACGGTTTCTGGGCCTTGCACAGATGCTCAGGGAGGAAGAGAGGACAATGAAGTCAATGGGAGCTGAGAGCACTCTAGGAAGCATTGTAAGTGTGATTAAGGCACAGTTCTATTTCTGGCCCTGCCACAGGCTTACTGGGCAACCCCCGTTACCTTCACTATAGCTCAAGTTTCCTCCTCTGGAAGAGGAGGAGCAGCTTCGAAGGGAGTCATGAAGCTAAATCCATGAACATTTGGAGAACACTTTGAGACCCTTGGATAGAAGGTGTTATAGAAATGCCACGTACTATTATACTGCATTGGACGGACTTGCAGCTCAGGTCAAGGAGACTATTTGCATGACAGGCTATACAAGGGTTACCAAAAAGTGTAAGAAAAGGAACAGGGAGGTGCCATCTACCCAGGTGCCATCTGCAGGGCGTGCATGGTGTTATCCCCTGGTTCCATGGGTCCATATTTCCCATTCCTGATCTGGTGGCAGTGCCCTCTCTCTCCTTTGTCAATGTCCTGCCTGGATTCCTCACGGCTAGCCCCATCCTCCTAGCACTCCTTCAACAGAGCCACTGGAGGGTTCATGGCTGGAGGCCACCCAAGCTTTTCAGAGATGCTGGTTCTATATTTACTTTGAGAAGCTGGAAAACCCTGCCTGGCTAGCTGCCCATCCAAGTTCTGGGAGTACAAACGGCTGACACTAGTGCCATGGGGGTCACACTGTGAGACAGCAGGGCCCACCAAGAACTGCTCTGGTGGGATTTCAGCCAGTGGTCCAGCCCCCAGTCTGGCTGTAGTACAGCTTACCCTGGTTTCAAGCAACTGCAGTGTACAGCAGTTTACCCAGTCTCCACTGGGGGGCCTAGCTGTGGGCAACCATCAGAGGCTGAAATCCCCAGTGTAGCAGGCAAGGCCTAAAATCAAAGGCTGAAAGCGTGGGTACCTGCTCACACACTAGGCCCAAAAGAGCTGCATTTGTCCACACAAAACAGGCAAATGTGCACTTACATGGATACGTGTGGATAGAGGCCACAATTGCTCACCCACCTCTCTCTCATCCTGGGACTAACACATTTGCACCAACACTGCAAATAATTTCTCCTGCCATCCAGCCATGCTACGGATTTTGGCCAGAGATTCTGGATGCAATTTCCTGTGTGCACCTATGTTTTACACTTAAAATTAGGTCATAAAGACCAATGGATCATTCTGTATGGAAAAAAAATTAAACCCTTAGGGCTTGTTTCTGCCGCTCCCTCCCATTCATGGGGGTGTGCCCGCTGGGCGTCTGATACAGTCAGCTTGGAGTACGTGTACAAACAGCAGCCAAAACGTACATGCCCCAGGCGACATGCCCCGTGCACCTGGAGATCCCAATCAACCCCCAAAGGGGCAGATGGGTGCGATGTTATCAGCAGCCATTGTCAAAGCGCCATTTAGTTCCAGAGTTCAAAGCCACTTCCGTAAATAATCAGACTCTTCTAGGGAGAGCTACGATTGTGAGCTAACAAAATGCCAAGGAGCCCCGTGCAGCGTAAGGCCCGTGCATTGTTCTATCAGCTACTTGTGTTTGCCTCTGTACATTACAATATCCCATGCCCTGCACATTTTTGACTCTGATTAAAAAATAAACAATTAAAAATTTTTTTAAGGGTGGGTTTTTTTATTATATCTAACTATCTATCTATCATCATTGGATATTTCCTTCCACAGCATAACGCCTCTCCAAAAACCAAAGAAGAGAATAAAATACCCCCTCCCCCCCACCAACAGCCTTTTATCATCTCATCCCTTCTTTCTTACAACAGAAAACGGAAGCCTTCAAATGTTAACTCACACCAGCAGCCTTTGAGAATAGTCATATCCGAGAGGAGGAGTTTACCCACTGCTGAGTCCGGAAATGCGAAAGGAGTCTCAGGTTCAAGTCAAGTACTGAGGGTTTTTCAAGCGAGCCGTCACACTTACCTGATGGGTATATTGATGATGTAGTGGAAGCTGCCACATTTTATAAGTTTTCGTAACTGTTCCCTGGGATGTCCTTCAATATAATTACCAGATAAGAAGCCTGGTATCCTTAGGAATTACAGAAAGGTCATCCGCCAGATGGAAGCAATATCCCATTGTAGTCTTTTGTTTACCAGATTTATTCCAGAGCTGTTTTTATCAACTGAACCACATTTTTATCTCATGATTTAGTGAGGACACCACTTGCATTACACCTATATGCACTGAGACATCTGCTCCCTGAGTCATAAAGATCCCTTCAAAGCTTTTTTTTATCACTTTGCCTAGTCAACATCAGCAGAATATTACACTTCTTTGTAGAAGGAGCTAATTAAGTAAGGGAAAGCATTGTCCAATGGCTAAAAGGTGGGGCTATTCTCAACTCTGCCTTTGGCCCACTGCAGCACTGGGCAAGTCACTTACCCTCTACCTATCTCGAAAATGGAAACCCTTGCCTGTCTTACAGAGATGTTGTAAGAGTTTACACAGCTCTTAGAAAAGCTGCTGCAGGGAAGGTATTAGTATTAAATACTTTAGACATATGATGACAGTTGAGACTTTTTCCTCGTGATTATAGATTACATTAACTGTTGGGAGCAGAGGGCACCTCCCTACATACCCAGGACAACTCTACCATTGACATGTACTGTATCTAGAAGCTGCCAACCTAACTTTTTTATGAAGCCTGCTGCATTCTGGTATTGAGAGCTCTGTGAAACATTCCATCCTGGTTTCCTGCACCTCTTCCACAAGGTGCATTTAACAGTTGGAATTACTCCAACTGGCAACATTTCAAGGCTCCATGACTCATTCCCTAAGAAAAACATGCAGTGCATTAAACTCCACGCTAGCACATAAAATAAATGTTACCTTTATTTGCAAGAGCCAGCATTTTCTCAAATACGTTACCTGTTCAGAAATAGTTTCTAATACTTATAAAAACAGATGGCTAGAATGTCTAAGACTATTACAAACTATAAATGATGCATACATATTGTACAGATGCTAGCATCTGTTAAGAAAACAGAGTTTGTTTTTTCACATATCCTACACATTTTTTTCCTGTTGCAGGTCAATCTATTTCAAAGGACCAGATGAGCTTCTTTCAGTAAAGTTCAGTCTTTTGTGCGTGAAGACAGTTTACTTTGTTGACAGGTTTTCAGATTTAGTTTGTGAGAAATGGCAGCAGATAAGCTTTTTCCTGACCTTGATTTTCTCCTAAAGTTTACTTGAAATTGTTGCATCTCTACCAACATCTCAGGAACTGGAGGAGGAGTGACATCCTGCAGATCGGCATACTGGATACAGTGATAGACCCTGGGCTGGACCAGACAAAAGAAGTCTTGTTTGGAAATTTTTAGAGGCTTATTTTGCATTTTTAGGCCTTGTTTTGTAGTAGTCATAGAAGGAAAAAATGCAGCAGTAGCACAAAAAAAAATGACTATACTGCCCCACAACCCCACCATCAGCCTCCTGTTCAAGATCTAAAGATAGCCTGCCTTGCTTTAAAACCTCTGCTCCATCCCAAGTCCTGCCTGTCTCTACTCAACTTCTATTCTTTTCACATTCCTATCATTTGCCTCCTTTCTGCTCCCGTCCATCTTACCATTTGTGCAAGATCCTTCTCCTCTGCAGTGCCTACATCTGAAACCACCTTTCCATTGTCAAGGATGAAAGACATCTCCCTCAGACATTCAGGCCCTGAGGGTGTAGCTTCCAGTGAACAGACATTAACTAACCTGCTCTTTGTGGGTAACACAGGCCTTTACATCTGGGAGGAATTCAGACAAAGGACGCCTCACTTTTTGCTTGTAGAAGGAGCCCAGGATCTCACTCTTCTGTGATAATTACATTAAAAAGAAGAATCAGGGGGTAGCCGTGTTAGTCTGCAGCCACAAAAATAAGACGAGACGGGTACCCAGAAGTCACCTACTACAGGACAGGCCCAACAAGGAAAACAACAGACCACCACTGGTCATCACATACATCACCCAGCTAAAACCTCTCCAGCACATCATCAACGATCTACAACCTATCCTGGAAAACAATCCCTCATTCTCACAGACCATGGGAGGCAGGCCAATCCTCGCTTACAGACAGCCCCCCAACCTGAAGCAAATACTCACCAGCAACTACACACCACACCACAGAAACACTAACCCAGGAACCAATCCCTCTTACAAACCTCATTGCCTACTCTGTCCCCATATCTACTCTAGCGACACCATCAGAGGATCCAACCAAATCAGCCACACCATCAGGGACTCATTCACCCGCAAATCTACTAATGTGATATATGCCATCATGTGCCAGCAATGCCCCTCTGCCATGTACATTGGCCAAACCGGACAGTCCCGACGTAAAAGAATAAATGGACATAAATCGGACATCAGGAATGGTAACATACAAAAGCCAGCAGGAGAACATTTTAATCTTCCTGGACATTCTATAACAGATTTAAAAGTAGCCATACTTGAACAAAAAAACCCTTCAGAAACAGACTTCAAAGAGAAACTGCAGAACTATAATTCATTTGCAAATTTAACACCATTAATTTGGGCTCGAATAGGGACTGGGAGTGGCTGTCTCACTACAAAAGCAGCTTTGCCTCTCCTGAAATGGACACCTCCTCATCAATTATTGGAGTGGACTACATCCACCCTGATCGAATTGGCCCTGTCAACACTGGTTCTCCACTTGTGAGGTAACTCCCTTCTCTTCATGAGTCAGTGTAATATGCCTGCATCTGTAATTTTCACTCCATGCATCTGAAGAAGTGGGTTTTTTACCCACCAAAGCTTATGCCCAAATAAATCTGTTAGTCTTTAAGGTGCCACCGGACTCCCTGTTTTTATTAAAAAGAAGGCAGTTTACTAAATTTGTTTCCCTCTGCAGGATTCTTCCTCCAGCCCTCTGTACATTGTCCCCTTTAAACAGCACGTCAGACAACAATACTGGTTTCCTCACCAGCTTCCCCTTCTCTTCCCACTGGTGCCACTCAGCCTCAATTTGTTCATCCATGTAACGGGTGAGTCGCTTCTCTTTCTGGATCATTTTTTGAAAGTTCAGATTAACATCTGAGATTAGGCCTGATTTTCCTGGCAATAAATTCGTCATCATGGACTGCTGCCTCCTCTGCTGGCTAAGCGTGTGCATAATGCTTCGAGTACCTCTGGGCACAAAGGCATAAGGAGAGGATTAAACTTCCACAGCAAACTAATAGTCTTTCCCCTCTTCCCTAATGCAGCAGAATGGAGCCCAGCCTACTCACTGAACTAGGAAATATTTAAAGCAGACGCCGTATTAAGACTAAGCAAAATAATTAGGATAAAGTAAGAGGACTTGAACTGGACTTTTTGGGTTCAGAAAAAGTCAGCATCATTTCCCATTCGCCCCTCCCAGCCCTCTTATCTATCATTTTCTCAGCTCTCTGCAATTCCTAGTTCGTGGTGGGACTCGGCACTTCTGCTTCTAACACTGGCTGCTCTCCTGAGGCCCAGCTCTGCCCTCACTACTCTCAGTGGTTTCAATCAGAGTTGATGGGTGTATGTGAGGACAGGACTAGACCTATGGCATTTAGTGTCCAATCAGACATAGAACAAATCTTCTCAGAGCAGCCCTAGAAACACAGAAGCATCAGGTGCTTTAGAGAAGGCTCCATACATTTTTCTTGTGAACGGAACCTTTGGGAACGGAAAAATTGATTGAATTTTCTCAAGTCTAAATATTACAGACCCCAAAGAGTCCAAAGCCATGTCTACACTACAGATTTTACAGCTGTACCACTGCAGCGGTGCTGTTGTAAGGTCTCCCATGTATGCTGATGGGAGAGAGCTCACCTGTCAGCATAATTAAACCACCCCCCCATCAAGTGGTGGTAGCTATATTGGCAGGAGACGCTCCACACCGGCACTTTTGTTGGTGAAACTTGTGTCCATCAGGGGTGTGGTTTTACTGACAAAAGTGCTAGTGTAAACACAATCCAGGAGAGACAGCCCTAAAAATTCAACTTCGAACCGTGGAGAAAGAGATTGAACACTTGCTGAACAGAGATTTGTAACAGATCATGGCAGCTACTGGGTTTACCCCCCACCCTGCTGACAAAAAATGAATGAGTTTATCACTTCCTTTAACCATCCCTGTCCATTATTTTGAGTTCAGATACAGACTGCCCCAGCATACTGAAACCACACGGGACAAGGACAGAGGCGATCGTATTTATCCTCCATGCTGGAAAGGCATTTGCTTAAATGTGACTCTTCAAAGACTCATTCCAGTTCACTCACTCCCAGTGAGGGAACTTGCCCTCATTGAGCACTTTCAGGGTTTGAGTGGAACCAACTCTTCGGATTTCCGATGGCACCTCAGCTGGCCTCAGATACTGCAGCCCAACGTTCCACAACGACTGCCCAAAGGTCCCTGCCATTTAAACCAGCAGAAAAGAAAGGTCAGAATGGGGGCTGAATGGATAGCCCAGACACAGCAATTAACACCTGCCTACAAGCAAACCTCTCACTCGTTTGCCTTTGGAACGGCTGGCGAGTCCCCATCTCTGCAGAAAGGAAGGTTTTTGCAAGTGAAACGGATGATAAACCCAGGACTTTATGGTTGTCGCTATGCTACAGATCACTAGAGCTGGGGGGAAATTTATCGACAAAACGTTTTTCTTCAGAATATGCCAGTTCATCAGAACTGAAGCTTTCCATGGAAACTTACTGGCTTTGACTAAACTTTCATCGGGAAGATTTCTCAGATCCAGGATGGAATTTCCAGTCAAAGCCAGAAGGGGAGGGGAAGAGAGAGAGACAGACACACACACAGACAGACACACCCCCATCCCAGAATAGCCCTTTGCAATGGTTCAGACTTGACCTGAGTCTCCCACATCCCAGGGGAGTGCCCTGGGCACTGAGCTATCGGCTACTCCAGGGTGGATCGCTCTCATTTGATCACGAAACACAGCGAAAGGCCTTCGTTTTGTTCTGAAGTGGAACAAAAACTGATTGTGAAACCTCAAAGTTTTCCACAAAATGGGACCTTGGTTTCTGGCCAGCCCTACACACCACAGCCTGGCTCCAGGGCCATCGCCGGGACAGAACTCTCAGGGCCCCGCTGAAGAGAGGAGCACTCTCCATTCCCACTGAAACCAACAGGAAGTGAGAGCACTCCGAACCGTCCAGGCCTGAGCCCTAAAGAACAGCCCCCGACCGCCTGAACTATAGGAGAGCCATCGTGCCAGCCAGAGATCACTAGAGCGCAGCCGCACTTGGGCCACAAACTCACCCTCTCCTCTCTGTTTAGGTTTAAGCTCTTTGGGGCCGGGCCCCTCTCCATGTGGCACAACGGGGACCCATTTCAGTTAGCGCCGCTAGCTGCTACCATATTACTAACAAACAACAGCATCCCACACCAGTTTAGGGGGAGGGATAGCTCAGTGGTTTGAGCATTGGCTTGCTAAACCCAGGGTTGAGAGTTCAGTCCTTGAGGGGGCCATTTAGGGATCTGGGGCAAAAATCTGTCTGGGGATTGGTCCTGCTTTGAGCAGGGGGGTTGGACTAGATGACCTCTTGAGGTCCCTTCCAACCCTGATATTCTATGATTCTATGACCATCCCCTGCCATGGGCATGCTCCTGATAAGCCCTTTGCTCTCTGGGGGTAGTGTAGAGCCAGCTAGCCACATCAGCAGCACAGTTTGGGAAGCTTTATAGCCCCATTCCACCACCAGGGCAGTGAGAAGGGACCTTCACATGGGGCGGTATCTGGCCCTGAGTGTTTGGGGCAGACCTCTGTCTAATGGAAATGGCATGACATCAGAGTCACCTACCCCCAGCTTCCTGATAACCATGGCTAACTTGAATGAGAACGGTTACCAAAATAATTTTCTTATTATTGAGATTGTTTTTTAAAAAATTGACAAATTGGATTGAAATTTTCTCTCTCTTTTAAAGTAAACTTTACAGAAAAGGGGGAAATCCTAGAAATGGGAATTGTATGGCATCATTTCTCTTATCTGCAATTCTGTACACAGCTGGCGTCATTTCCACAACATGGGGGCTCCCAGTCAAGCCTGTACTATAGACCAACCTTACCTTCCCAAGGGCTGTCACAAGTTTATCTTTAACATTTTAGTAAGAAATGGCATTATGCCTAGGATGGCTTCAGGCAGTAGCTGGGCATTGGTAGCTCAGCCCAAGGTTCATTCCCTCTAGGGCACCTGGCATCGGCCACTGTCAGAAGACATGACACTGGGCTAGCTGGACCTTTGATCTGACCCAGTTTGGCCATTCTTATGTGCAGTGTTCTCCCTGAAAATTTTCAGCTGGGTCCTGAGCCATGAGGCGACATCCTTGTAGTTTCATAGTCTTTGGCGAGAGTTGGCTGACACTTTCCCTTCCGCAGCACTTTCCTCACATTATAACCAAAACTGCATTGATGGGCTCAGAATATTTCTAAGGATGTCATTTTTGGTGGGGTCAGCTGTGGTCCAATTAGACTGAGCTGAGAGCCAGCCATCCTACCCAAATAAAAATCCTTTTGAGTTAACAAATTGCACTTAAGTTAGGAAGCCAGTTTTATCTAGCAAGACAGCAAAAGTGACACGTCTATTTGTCTCTTCTGTCTCATAACCAAGGTGGATCTCTAGAAAACACCAGCTGGTATGAATGGCTTTAGCATTCCAAACAATTGTACCTATGTGCCTGCCTGAGAGCATCCAGAGTTTGACGTTGCAGTCATAGCTGGACGTGACAATCAGTCTGAGCTTTTCCACATACACAATGTGGGATACATTCTTCAGATGACCCCTCCAAGAGCTCAGAAGATCTGGGGGGACGAGGGTGGTACTCCAGCCATCCAGGACCTGCAGAACAGATGCCATGAGAAATTAATTTGTGAAGATGCTCACTTGGGAGAAGGTCAACAGCTTAGTTTAAACATGACACAAACCTTTATAATCTATAAATCATCTCCACTCCTTATCTAAGCTATTTTTATGGCCGTTATCACCATGGTATTTAAATACCATAAGAATGTAATCTACCAAGAAACAAATTTTCATCCCTTCCGGTTTGTGGACAGCAATGATAACGGTATAAAGCCAGTAGGGTTCGATAGTTCTGACACCTTTTCAACCATAATCTGTAACTATCTTGATAGCAGTATGCATCAGCTGGCAAAGTCTTCCTTTTTTATCCCAATTCCACTGGGAATCTCCTAATGGGTTTCAGAGTAGCAGCCGTGTTAGTCTGTATCCGCAAAAAGAACAGGAGTACTTGTGGCACCTTAGAGACTAATAAATTTATTAGAGCATAAGCTTTCGTAGGCTACAGCCCACTTCTTCGGATGCATATAGAATGGAACATATATTGAGGAGATATATATACACACATACAGAGAGCATGAACAGGTGGGAGTTGTCTTACCAACTCTGAGAGGCCAATTAAGTAAGAGAAAAAAAACTTTTGAAGTGATAATCAAGATAGCCCAGTACAGACAGTTTGATAAGAAGTGTGAGAATACTTACAAGGGGAGATAGATTCAATGTTTGTAATGGCTCAGCTATTGCCAGTCCTTATTCAATCCTAAATTGATTGTATCTAGTTTGCATATCAATTCCAGCGGTTGTATCCAGTACAACACTAGGGAGTCTACAAAGTCAGGATCCTCTTGGCCCATATTTCTCAATTCAAAGAAGGCAAGTGTATTTGTTTTTCCCTCTTGCTATGAAATCACATCTCGCTGAGCCAGGAAGGGCTGAAGAAACTCCTCCCTTCCTCATAGAGGTGGTGTGAATTTAGTGCAGGTTACCTCCAAGGGTGAGGAGAAAGGTATGTTTTCATAATGTCACTCCAGAAAGAAAAATAATCCTGATATTTATATTGAAAATAATGTCATGCATCAGCACGTCTATTGATACCTTCCCAAAAGCAATGAGACCAATCCACATAGCTTAGTTAATCTACTAAGTATTTCAAGAGGTGGTCACTGACACTGGCAGACCAGGTGCCCGCTCACATCAAGGCCCGTAGGCCTCACTGTACAATGACAAATGCAGAGCTGGAAGCCAGTCTGACTCACCTGTGTGTTAGTATTGTTAAAATAGGTATCAGATTTATAAAAATGTGTTTAGTGTTAAGCATTTCATAAACTCTAGTGAGTTGCTGCCTTCATTAATCTCACTTATAATGTCTGTATCCCAGGTTATAAGGTAGTATTTAAGTGTTTACTCTGAACGTGTAAACCCTCACAGTCAGGAGAGAAGTATTACCAAGTGTGAAATACTAGTTTGCCACAAGGGGTGTCATCTCCTGCCCAACAAAAGAAGGACTATAGACACCAGACAAGCCATTGTGGAAAATCAGGGGACAGAAGACTTGGCTAATTGCTCCCCCCACACTCACAAAGAGGAGATGTGCACAAGCACTCGTCCCATCAGCTTGAACTCTGGGAGGAAGGCAATAAAAATCCACCAAGAAGAAATTGATATCTGTGTCGCTTGAACTCTGAGAGGCAAAGATTTCTAAGCATAAGCAAGGGATCCCCAGCCTTTTTGCCTGGGTTAGCCCTAGAGGGCTTATAGAGCTTGCATATTACAGCAGCTTCCATTGCCTTCTGGAACCTAAGACTGACTCATTCGTATGTGTTTATCTGCTTTAACTTTGTAAATAACTCATTTCTTTTTCTTAGTTAATAAATCTTTAGTTAATTTATTATAGGATTGGCTACAAGCATTGACTTTGGTGTAGGATCTAAAGTGCAGCTGATCTGGGGTAAGTACTTGGTCCTTTGGGATGGGAAGTTGTGATTTTTGGTGTAAGGGAGCATCTATCACACAAAGGCAAGTTTACCTGGGTGGCAAGATAGATCGGAGTACCCAAGGTGACTGTCTGACTCCATGTTAAGCCTGTTATAAGTGCTTGAGGAGTTCACACTTGATATGTGGTTGGTGAAATCTAAGTATAGAACTCACAACCCGTTTGGGATTTGTGCCTTGCTTCTACACAGTCTGCCCTGAGGCTGGTACTCATGCTTGAGCGCCACTTCAGACAGCTTGACAGTCATACTTCCAATAAGCTCCTAAAAATGCATGGGCAATATTTGTGAATATAGGGAGGGTATTTTCGAAAGCACCTACATGATTTAGGAGCACAAGTCCTATTTATTATGCAGGGACATCTTAGAGGCCCACAGAAAATTCAGTCCATTACAAAAAATCTGAAATGCCAACCCCACCCTGAATGTGATGAGGAGAGCTTAAAGGAAACAAGGCTATGCCACTGCTAATTAATATAATGTATAAACTCTTTACAGTACAGATTCTGCAATGCACTACCTCATTAGTTTCCATCGATGGATTTTTTCTGGCAGGAACTCTACAGTATTTTGGGATTAGGTGACGAAACATGTTCTCATTTCTACGAGATGTTTCTGTCTTTCCTGCCCTGGAAACTTTCTTTACCTCTTTTGATTTGCAGTAATTCTCGATATCCCAGATCTAAGGAGAGACTTTGTTAGTAACTTTTTAATTTTCATTTACAAAAACACCAAGTTGCACATTCCCCTGAAACTGGCTAGGAAGTGACCAGTCACACCGCTCCCATTCACCATAGTATGAGTGGTGCACATAACTCATCCTCCAGTTTTCACTCTTCTGACATCTCTAGGGACAAAAGATAGTCCCATTTGCTCTCCAGCTTTGTTTGTTCATTCACTGGGTTTTAAATTAAGGTCTCAAGTTTTCACACAGCTCATTACTTTCCAAGCCTTTCAAATGGAACAAGCTGTTTGGTCTGTTTTGAACAGCAGACAAGTTACAAATCCTATGACTTTACTTCTTATCTTCAAAGTCAGACTTTCAAAGAGGCTGTTTTTCAGACATCATAAAACAATCACCTTAATATAACCTAGGGAATCTCCAGTCAACAAGATGAAGTCCTCTGGATCCGTGGACATGGTACCGACTACTGCATTTACATCATCACCATGTACTGCCTGAAATTTGCCCAACATCCCCCCTTCACTACTGACTGACCAGGCATAGATGTAGCCACCTGCAGAGCTGGTTAGCAAAATGGCTGTGTCAGGAGACTGCTCACGTGTCTCCAGGAAAAGTATCTGCAAAAGAGAAAGCCATAGCAACACATGCCCTGTCCACTCTCACATCCACTCGGATTGCTGGGTAGGTCAGAGAGAAATGTAGACGTCTAACCTTTTCTACAGCAGCTGGGAGGCCCTTCAACTCTTCCTGCCAATTTGGATAGGTTTGCTCTTGGGTGCTGGTTTCAGCAGCATCTTGGTCTTTGGGAGAATCACTTTCTATGTCAGTATTTTCCCCTCCTGGAGGCTGGACTGCCTACAGAATCAAAAACACCACCACATACCTTTAGCCAGGCCTTACATTGGAGGCCGATTAGGTTCTGCTCTTCTTGACAACAGACTCTGCAGGGTGGTAAGACAAGACAGTGCTTTTTTGAGGGGCCAATATTTCTTTCAACCTTAACTACAAGAAGTTCTCTGTTATAAGGCCAGGTCCTGAGACCCTCTTACGGAGGTGAGTAAGGGCCAAAAGAAGCAGAGAGCTGGGTAAGAAACATGTGGCAGAGGGTGGCGGGTGGAAAAAAAAAGCAAGAGTACCAGGAAACCACCTTGAATTTTCACCATTTGTTGTTTAGGGCAGGGTTCACTGTGTAAAAGACAGCAATGCTTATGCTGGGACATGTCTTCACCCCAGCTTGGAACAAGCCAGCGATTGTTGTAAGTTTAGCCTAAATCACAAGAGCTTTCACAGAACCACACCTGCTGCCTTGTAGCTTCATCCAGTTGCTTTTCTCTGGACGGTCTTATAACAGATGGAGCAGGAGCCAAATTTCTGCATTGGCCAAAAAAGGAAACGGAAGGCTTCTCGGTAGTTGAAAGCCTAGTTGCCAAGCTAGTCCTCGAGTCTGCCCAGCGCTTTTTCCCAGACTCTGCATAACAGCTGAGCTTTACGGATACTGATGGCTTCTTTGGGATATTTCCTCTGCTGGGATCTTCCTTACTCTCAGTAAACACCTAAGCAATGGGAACAAAAACTGCATTTCAGTGTGAAACGGTCCCTTGAGACTTTTCCCATCTTCCTTCTTCAAACTGCTATAGCTCATCCCATCTGCTGGACTGAATTACTGAAGAGGCAATGGGTTCTTCACTTGCAAAGCAGACCCAGCCATTCTGGCCAGCAACATCACTTTTCTGCTGCAGTAGCTTAAGGAGAAGTAGAATCCCTGTTTCTATTGAGAAGTAGCTGCCAGTATGACTAAATTAGGGTCTGATCTATCTCCCATTCATAACGTCTGTGACTTCAGTGAACGGAGGATGAGCCTTTAACTTGTGGAACAAATACCAATGCAATATATTTTCAATACAAGATCTGGAGGTTCACAGTGGTCAAAGCTTCCCACAATCCAGCCTTGTAAAGCATTGGAACAAAAGGAGGAGGGAGAAAAATTGTTGTTCTTAACCTCTGAGGATAGGACAAGGAGCAATGGACTTAAATTGCAGCAGGGGAGGTTTAGGTTGGACATTAGGAAAAACTTCCTGTCAGGGTGGTTAAGCACTGGAATAAATTGCCTAGGAAGGTTGTGGAATCTCCATCATTGGAGATTTTTAGGAGCAGGTTGGACAAACCCCTGTCGGGAATGGTCTAATATAGTCCTGCCATGAGTGCAGGGGACTGGACTAGATGACCTCTCGAGTTCTATGATTCTATAAAAACATGATGCACTTACAAAGCACCACACAAATCTATGCTCTGTCCCCCAGTGTGCTAGTTCTGTTCTGTAAGAGCTAAAACAGAATTCTGGCTACTGACATGCAAATGAACCATCAAGTGACTCCACAATTTCAATTTCCTCCAGTGATAGGACAGCTGCTGTCTCAACAAGGTGTGCACGCTCTGACGTGGACAGGAACAGACTTGTCTTGTGCCTAAACCAACTAGAAACCAAGATATTTATTAAAAACACAATTGACTGTACTTTAAATATCTTGTTTCTGATTGGCTGGAGTATTATTAATATTCATAATTTTATTTGGATAACTTGTCCATCACTCCCAACTTAGCGTGTAGAGGACATCTGTCCACTAGCACAAAACAACTGTAAAACTCATCAGATTTCCACGTCCCCATTCGGGAAATGCCCAGGAGTGGACGAGCAGGGACATTATAACTCAGGATTGCAGAACATTCGTAGAACTAAAGGCGCACAGCCTGGCTCCAGCTATCATCAGTACCTCATTTTAGTGAGCAACAAATTAAACTTTTTTTAAAATAAAAATATATTTTCTAACTGTAAATCATAAGAACACAAGAACGGCCATACTGGGTCAGAGCAATGGTCCTTCTACCCCACTATCCTGTCTTCTGACAGTGGCCAATGCCAGGTGCTTCAGAGGGAATGAACAGAACAGAGCAATTTATCTAGTGATCCACCCGCTGTCCTCTAGGCCCAGCTTCTGGTAGTCAGAGGAATAGAGATACCCAGAGCATGGGGTTCTGTCCATGACCATCTTGGCAAATAGCCATTGATGGACCTATCGTCGGTGAATTTATCCATGAACAGAGTGGCTGAGACCTTGGGAATTTTTGCCTTCCTCTGCAACATGGGGCATGGGTCACTTGCAGATTTAAATTAGTGCCAACAGTGGATCCTCTGTAACTTGAAGTCTTTAAATCATGATTTGAGGACTTCAGTAACTCAGCCAAAAGCTATGGCTCTATTTCAGGAGTGGGGTGGGCGAGGCCTGCAAAGCACAGGTCAGACGAGATGATCATGATGGTCCCTTCTGGCTTTAAAGTCTATAATTCTTTTTGAACCCAGTTATACTTTCGGCCTTCACAACATCCCTTTAACGACTTCCACAGGTGGACTGTGTGTTGTGTGACAAAAAACTTCCTTTTGTTTGTTTTAAACATGCTGCCTATTAATTTCATTGGGTGACCCCTGGTTCTTGTGTTATATAAAGGAGTAAATAACACTTCCTTATTCACTCTCTCCATACCATTCATGATTTTATAGACCTCTATCATATCCCCGCTTAGTTGCATCTTTTCCAAACTGAACAGTCCCAGTCTTATTAATCTCTCCTCACTTGGAAGCATTTTTGTTACCCTCCTTTGTACTTCTTCCAATTCTAATATATCTTTTTTGAGATGAGGCGACTAGAACTGCATGGACTATTTAAGGTGTGGATCAACCATGGATTTATAATAGTGCCATTATGATATTTTCTGTCTTACGATCTATCCCTTTCCTATAGGTTCCGAACATTGTTCGCTTCTTTGACTGCTGCTGCACGAACAGCAGATCATTTCAGAGAACTATCCACGATGACGCCAAGGTCTTGAGTGGTAACAACTAATTTAGATCCCACCATTTTGTATGTAGCGACAGAGCAATCTGATTAGCTGTTAGAATGTGGTGCACACATCCCCTCAATTTAACAGTAATCAGAAGGCACATTTAACAAACTGAAGCACTGAACTGTGTAGGAAACAGAGCTGGGCAGCTGTTCTTGAACTTACCCTGTTTGGCATAAGGGTCAAAGGACTCTGGGATGCGTTAAACCTGCAGAGTGCCTGTCCCGAGTCTGTACTCCAGATCACTACATCTCCATCGCAGGAGGCAGTAGCCAAGAGTTGACGGTTATATTTGGCGATAGATAAGATGTCCTCTGAGTGGTAGGATTTCCAGTGTTTGTATTCAATTACCTCATCTTCTTTAACATCTCTGGTGAGCAAGATCAAACAGTCATCCAGGAAGAACAGTGTATTTAATGAAGTTAGAAGGAAGTGGACTGTAAAGTACAACAAATCCCTCTCAAGACCATAATCCGCTTCACCTTTTAGACATTGGTATGTTTAAGGAGACATTTGGTACACAGCAGGGTTAGAGAGAACGAGCCAGCAATGGGAACCAAGGAAATACATTTGTACATGGGATCATGTAATCCCCGCCCACTTCCTACTTACAGGTACCATGTAACTCTTTTACTCCAGCCAGTCACATATATCTTTAGATTGATATACAGAATTCCACTGATCTACGGGAAAGAGACAGAAACAATGCTAAGGTATAACTAGTAATTGCCTGAAAAACATCTGCTCACATATGCAAAATCCACACTTCTCCATTTGTGCAAAATTTGCACAAATCAGATAATTGTGCATCAAATTACCCATCACTGCTGTCACACTTGGTCAAACTGCATGGAGGAAGGCAGGTTTTATATGCACAATGGATGCCTCTGCAATGTTTTCAGGGTTTTTACAGACACTTTGAAAGTCTGGCCCTGAAAGGGCCACCTTTCCAAGTAAAACTGTTACTGGTATTTCATTTTATCAGTTTTCTCCCGCTTATTTATCCTAGGACAAAAAAACACTATGATAGCACCACCCCCTGCTTCCTGGCAATCTGAATCAGAGCATAATGAAATGGTGCTTCTACTCCAGGCTGGGACAGAGGAGAGATGCATGTGACAAGCACTGATAAAACACATCTCTCTTCTTTCACGAGGTGCTGACCTCTGTTTTATCCAAGTGAGGCATCTCAAGCAGACAGGCCCCATTGTTGAAGTTCCAGAACTTGATCGTCCCATCTTTCAAAGCAGTGATGAGGCGTCTCTCCGGCCCATCAAAAGCCATTGCTGTTATTTCAGTGTGCTTGCCGTCGGAGGTCGTAAACTGCATCATCTTTTGCCCAGTCATGATATCCCAAACTCTGACCATCCCACGATGGCAACCACTCACCACCTGTATAGACCACCATGACGAAGTACATATTGTCAATCTATCAAGCTCTCAGCATTTCTAGGTCATAAGGTATAATGGGGGGGGGGGGGAAAACAGATCAGTGCATTAGACATTGATATGTCATTACAGCAGTTTATTAGTGACCACAGATATTAAGACAGTTTATAATCCTGACACTCACCTGTTTGAAGTTCCTGTTATACAGGGCTGTACATAGCGGCTGGTCATGGGACGTGACTTCTGAGTTAATGGTTTCCATGAATTCTACCTCTCCATAGAAAATTCCAATCTGGATTGAAATAGATTTAAAAAACCATAAGATGCAAAAACAAACATTTCTGCAAAAAGAACTATCAGGATTTGAATAGAAGATGAATGATATGAATCAGAGCTACCACCTCTAGGCAGTGAATGGAACATGGACTAAAGGTATCTAGATGCTTCAAGAACAGGGAAACCATCAGCAAAGATAGCCCCTCAATATTACTATACCTCCCAAGGAAAAATAAGCCAGGACCTCAAGAACATCTGCATTGCTGTGTTACTGATACCAAAGTGCCACTTCAGTCCATTGAAATACCCAGACTATATTAGTTTTTCAGGATGACCATCCTCCTGCAGATACACTGGAAGGAATGTTAGGTTACATCCAGATATTCCTTCTTTTATGGTGGGATATCTGGAACTGATGTCAGAGCAGCAGTTGGTCTGCAGAGCCCTGCGTGGATACAACATTTGTATCCGCCTCTGATCCGCAAAGATGGTCCACAGATATACGCAGATCTGCAGGGCTCCAGATATAGAATTTGGATCTGCGTCCATCCACGATCCACAAACATGGTCAGCAAATATCTGCATCTCTATTCCGAACCTCCTACTGAATAAAAATCCAGCATTTACTAATACCACCACCATGTATCACTGACCGTATTTAGCACTTTATGTCATCAAAGCACTGTAAAAACACTTATGGGCAGAACCTTGCAAAGTGCTGTGTTCACGCAGTTCCCATTGACTTCAATAGGAACTAATGGCACCCTACGAGAAGCACTCAGAACTCTGCAGGATCAGACCCCAACAGAGGGCCAAATCCTGCCCCCCTAACTAATGCGAGCAGTCCCACTGACGCTCTGCTCTGTTCACATGAATAAGGTGAGAATTTCAGTCAAAATCTTGTTTACAATATCCGTGTGAGGTAGCTAAAGAATATTACTGTCCCAGTTTTGCAGATGAGTACAGAGGCGGAAGTTAGTTGACCTCCACTAGGCCATACAGCAAGCCAGTGGCAGAAATGAAACTAAAAAATATGTGCTCCTGAGTCTGTCTCCACTAGGCCATGCTGTGTCTCAGTGTGTAGACATTCACCCCATGCAGGACTGGTTAGGATTTTTTGATTAATTGTTTTTCAGCAAAAATATCAATTTGGTGAAACACAACCTGCTGGTGAAATGGGGTCTGCTTCAGCAAATTTCCCAACTCAACAAAATGTAGAGGAAAAAAAACACTTTGAAAAATAGTTGAAACATTTCATTTTAACATTTTCAAAAAGAAAAATACTGGTTTTGCGGTTCAAAACAAATTTTCATTTTGAAACTTAAGCTAGTTAGACTGAAAAAGTTTAAAAAAGAAAAAAGGGCCAAAATCAGACATTCCAAAATTATCAAAACAAAAAACACTTCAATTGACCCAAACCAAGAACTTACGCTACATCTACATTTGAGCTGGGAGGTGGGATTCCTTGCTTGTGTACAAAAACCTGCACTAGTTCTGCTCCCAAGCCAGGATAGCACAGGCAGCATCTCAGGCTCCCTGGAGTTGTACTTGAGCAAGTAGCCCCCACGCTACCTCCAACTACAGCGCTATTTTTGGGTGCTCGCTCGAGCAGAACTAGCACAGGTATGTCGATGCAAGCTGGGAACCAGACCTCCCGGCTCCAACAGAGATGTGGTTTCAGTTTTTTTATTTGTTTACAGTCAAGATTTCAATCTTCCATTCTCATTCTGATGGTAAAAATTTTCAAACTCTCAAAAACATTTCCAGGTTGGGAAAGACATTTCCTACCCAGCCCCGGTCCCACGTAGGCCCTAAAGGTTTAAATGGTGCATAAGAGTCGTGTTGGCCCTTTGCACAAGAGTGAATTTAAATCAATAAGAACTTTGGTCAAAAATTAAGCACTCACTGATGTCTGCTAGAAAGATGAGCAAAGAAAGGAGAGATGTCATCCCAAAAATATGTTTTTCCCTTTTGTGAAAGAAAAGGGTACATTATGTCTTCTGTTAAAAGGTAAAATAACTAACTCACGGAGAAGGTGGTGCAGATAAGCATATTGTTTAACGCGCTGTAATAGGCATCAACAATCGAGCAATTTCCTAATGAGATACTCCTGCCAGGAATGGACTGGAGACAAAAGTGATCCAGCAAATCCCAAACACGGATATTCTGAAGGATGCAGGAAAGAAACCAGAAGTCAAAGGGATTAAGGCATTTGTGAGCACATTAGAGAGTTCATGCTGTTTAGCAGCTCAACCCAGAGGAAATAAATGCTTCCCATATGCTCAGGCCAATATCCAAACACATGCACAATCCCAATGTAGAGTTGTGTTCCCTGCAATAGCCCAGGAATGGAGGCAAAGGACCTACCAGATAGACGCCGCCTTCCCCAAGGAAACCAAATATCAACATTCTCCGGGAAATTTTTGTTTTGTTTGCAGAATTCCAGAGAAGGCTGTACTAAAGTATGACGCTGCACTAGCTTTAAATCACAATACAAGCTATATGAATGGAATGCTTGGGGGGGTTGATTCAAACCCACAACCTACAAGGAGATTCAAAGCTAAAGCTAAAATCTTAATATTTGAGCCTTTTCTACTGCCCTGGTTCTTCCTCCCACCAATGTTAGTGAGCTGAGCACAACAGACAAGGACACAATAAAAAAGGCTCTTTGTACCCGACATCTACTCAAGATGGAGCTACAAACAAAGGTAGAACGGCATCACGGAAGACGGCCAGGGACTGAACAGTGTTACTGCTTCGCTCTAGGTTTTGATGGGGTTAAGACAAACAGGGCCAGAGGAAGGCAAGGGGGAGCAAACCGCATTTTCATGCTTTGGGAGCCCCTAACTAAACAGATGTGGGAGCTTCCCAGGATCATGGCAGCTATAATATTTGACTGACTGATTCTGGTGCCCCTCAGTCGCCTGCTCCTGGCCTACAGAGAATGCAAAGATGTAGTTTTCTATTCAGCGAAGCCAGTTTCACCAATGTTTAACCTCTTTTTGAAGAGCATGCGCTAATTACACCAAAGGCTCCTCTCTAAGGTTACCATACGTCGGGGATTCCCCGGACATGTCCGGCTTTTTGGTCTTTAAATAGCCGTCCGGGGGGAATTTGTAAAAAAGCTAAAAATGTCCGGGATTTCCCCCCGGACGGCTATTTAAAGACCCAAAAGTGGCTGACAGGGCAGCCGTGCCGGATTGAGCCGCTCACTTGGGGCCTCTCCGGCAGCAAAAGCCCCTCCCCTGCAGCTTCAGCACGCCGGCAGCGCTGCGCGGGGCATAGGCTCCAACTTTAGCTCGTGCCCCCCCCCCGCCCGCTCCTGGCTCCGCCCCTTCCCGGCCCCCATTCCAATCCTTTCCCCAAATCCCAGGCCCCGCCTCCTCCCTCGGGCGCGCTGCTTTGCCCCTCCACCCCCCTCCCTCCCAGACTTTTGAGCGGCAAGCCTGGGAGGGAGGGAGGGGGGAGAAGCGGAGCGCTCAGGGGAGGTGGCAGAGTGGAGGTGAGCTGGCGCAGGGGGGCACAGGGAGGGCTGCCCACGGCAGGTAACCCGGGGGGGCGCAGGGGAACCGCTCCCGGCCCCAGCTCACTTCCGCTCCGCCTCTGCCTGCTGCCTTGAGCACGCAGCCACGCCGCTCCGCTTCGCTTCTCGCCCCCTCCCTCCCAGGCTTGCCGCGCGAACAGCTGATTCGAGGCAAGCCTGCGGGGAGGGGGGGCAGAGAAGTGGGGCGGCTGCGGGCTCAGGGGAGCGGGCAGAGCCGGAGCGGAGGTGAGCTGGAGTGGGGCAGGGAGCGCGGCGAGTCAAGGGACAGGGAGCGGAGGATTGGATCGGTCGGGGGTTCTGGGGCGGGCCTGTCAGGGGGCAGGGGTGTGGAGAGGGATTAGGGCAGTCGGGGACAGGGAGGGTTAGATGGGTTGGGGGGGCAGTCAAGGGACAGGCAGCAGTTGGACAGGCGTGGGAGTCCTGGGGATCTGGTGGGGGCGGGGGTGTGGATAGGAGTCAGAACAGTCAGGGGACAGGTAGGGAGTGGGATCCTAGGGAGGCAGTTAGGGTGGGGGGTGTCTCAGGAGGGGGCAGTCGGGGACAAGGATAAGGGAGGCTTAGATAGGGGGTGAGGTCCCCAGGGGTGGTTAAAGGCAGGGGTCCCAGGAGGGGGCGATCAGGGGACAAGGAGCAGGGGGGGGTTGGAGGTTCTATGGGGGGGAGTAAGGGGGCGGGAAGTGGGAGGGAGTGGCTAGGGGGCGGGGCTACCCCCGGAGTGTCCTCTTTTTTGAAAGTTCAAATATGGTAACCCTACTCCTCTCTCCTGCTCCCATGTCTAGCATTAAAAGAATCTCTCTCAAACCTAATACAAATCCAGCTGGTCATTCAGACACAGCTCCTGCACCCATCATAACCTCAGAAGTGTAATCTAGTAAGTACTACTGATATTTAGACGCTTTCCCATTGCCCGAGCAGAGAAATACATAGCTGCAAATGCAGCAAGCTATTTTTCCTATAATCCAGACTTTGTACTTTGTCTTTGGAGATGCTGAGGATGGTGTTTCTCTTTCCATTCACTATTATGTGAGTCACAGCAGTAACGTGGCCTTTCATCAGCGTTATGGGGCTGTTGGTAACAAATGGATTCCATATTCTAACCAGTGGATCCAATCCCCCGGTCACTAATGTAAAGAAAATACATTTTAGTTACAAAAGACGACAATGATGCATCTAACTTCTCCAGCATCCCATGAAGGAAACACTGGAACAATACATCAGAAGATGCTTAGGCCCAAACCTAACCCATCTCCTTGTTCTAATTCAAAGTAATTACCACACCTGACACACAAAGGAGAAAACCTAGGACCATGATATGACTAACGAGGGGGTGAAGCACAGATTGGGAAAGTTCAGACCTGTATCCAAACTGTGTGTGTTCTTCCACAATCTCCACTGGATATTTATTTGAAAATAGTTTTTTTCCCCCCTACATGTGCTTAAAACTTAAATAAGGCCAAGCCTTTGTGCATACTCAGTCTCCTATTTAGAGTCTGAAATATCACAGCATTCTAAAACTGGCTTAGAGAGTGACAGATTCCACCAGAGAAATAGTGTCACATGCTTTAGTCTGGTGGCACCTTAAAGACTAAAGGGATAGCTCAGTAGTTTGAGCATTGGCCTGCTAAACCCAGGGTTGTGAGTTCAATCCTTGAGGGGGCCATTTAGGGAACTGGGGTAAAAACAAATCTGTCTGGGGATTGGTCCTGCTTTGAGCAGGGGGTTGGACTAGATGATCTCCTGAGGTCCTTTCCAACCTTGATATTCTATGATTCTATGACTAACAGATTTATTTGAGCATAAGCTTTCGTGGGTAAAAACCTCACTTCTTCAGATGCATCTGAAGAAGTGAGGTTTTTACCCACGAAAGCTTATGCCCAAATAAGTCTGTTAGTCTTTAAGGTGCCACCAGACTCCTTGTTGTTTTTGTAGATACAGACTAACACGGCTACCCCCTGATACTTGATGCTTTAGTCTGCAACACAAGTACAAGTAAAGGGAGTTAGATGTGAGGTGTCTCATCTCTCTGTGGATGACGACGTAGGGAATTTTTTTTTTTTTTTTTTTGCTGATTGATAACTTCAATTAAAAATGTTCTCAGGCCACTAAGAGCAAGAGGCAGAAGAAAATTCTCATAGCCCATGCTCCACTTAACCCCTATTTAGAGGGTTTCAATGGGACTTAAATGGAATACCATCCAGGCCGTGTGCTGGCTTTTACATAGGGGTACATTTCATACATACACAGTACAATCAACCTATGGAACTCTTGCCAGGAGATGTAGTGAAGGACACAACTATAACAGGGTTCAGAAAAGAACTCGATAAGTTCCTGGAGGATAGGTCCATCAATGGCTATTAGCCAGGGATGGAACCCCATGATCTGAGAGTCCCTGCTCCACCATTATTATGAAGCCACTGCCATTAAAGTAGCCAGTTTCTGCTGGTCCCCTACGTGGCTGCTTAAGACACATCTCTCTGTATTTGAACTCGGACTCTTTCTGGACACTTATCTTTTTATCAAAGCTTTCAACACAGCAACTATAGACGAGTGCAGAGATCAGTGGGGTGAAAAATGGGCTTTGATGATGGCGACTTACCAAGCACGTTCATCTCAGGTGAATAATCAAAGCAGAGAATGCCCTTCTTTAAAGCAATCGTTGATGACCTAAAACAGAGAAAATAAAATGAACAGACTTGTGCAAGAACCACAGCTGGCCCTTTTAAAATGTATTGCAGATTTAATGGGCAAGGCTGTGGAAAATACATCTGCTTGTGTGAAGGACACTCTATGCTAATTAAACAGGGGAGCTCCAGAATAGGTGGGATCGTCAGAAAAGGAGGAAATACAGTCAAGTGTAGAGAAGCAGAAGGAACAGCAAGAGAGCTCTATAAAATTAGCCAAACTCTGTAACCTGCCCTCCAATGGGCTCTAACTGAAGCCCCCAATCCAAAACATCCCCAAACTTTGGAAAAGTTCCCCTCCAAAGGGTGCAGCTCAGACCCATCTCTAAGAAGAAATGGTTAAGGAAGAGAAGGGACCAGGGCTGGCCTTCAACACAAGCAAAGCAAGGGGCTGCTTGGATCTCCACATCCCATACAAGCTCCACAACTTGCTACCCCCACCGGCAGGAGCCCAGGGGAAAAATACTGCAGGTCTTTTCACCCTCTGCGAGAATAGGACAGGAAGGGGAGGCAGGCTCACTTCCCAACTGCTAGGACCTCTTGCACTGGGCTTCTGCATATTGTTAGGGTGACCAAGCAGAAAAGTTGTTGCAAGGAGAGAGGAAGTGCAGGGTAAAGACTCAAGGCGGAGAAGTGCTATGGTGGGGAGAGAAAAAGAGAGAGGAGGATCACAGAGAATGTGCCACTTGGGAAGCCACCTCCTGGCAAAGAGGAAATGCAACAGCATTCAGATAAAGAGAAGAAATGGAACAGCTATAAAGGAAGGAGCTGAACACAACCATCCTCTAGTCTAACCCATTCTTATGGGTAGTACAATAGTACGGAGCAGGACAAGGCCCTGGCTGGGACTATCCAGTGATTTATTATCTGAGAGCCGGGGGTCGTAACAGAAGAATAACGCCCGTCACGGCAGTGTGCTGCTCTATTATATTGGAGTCCTTGGAGCTCCGTCTCAGATGATATTCGGACCCCAGGTGTGACAATTCACCCCACTGACAGCTGTCAATTCCGTGGCCTCTGCCAACCCATTTCAAGGTACACAACCCATTTCTAAAAGTGAAAGCAGCCCTAGTTAAAAATAATGAGTTTGTGGGGGGAGAGGGGAGGAGCACAAGGGTGAAAATCATAAAAATGGGATTGGTGCAGAGCAGAAGGCTCGGCTGCATTAGAGCAGTAACCACAGTAGCTAGCTCACAGGTGGAGATCATTAGAAATGAAGAAATCCGTCTTCACTGGAGAAAAACAACTTGCAAACAATTAGATGACTTCTAAATAGATTCTCTCTTTGACTGAGTCCTTTTTATCCCCTCATCATGAACACTCACACGAGCAAACATTTGCACATACAAATGGTCGCAGAGCACATTCTAAGCCTGGACCCAAGGTCCGTTCCATCACTAACCAAGCTACTGTTTGAAAGGAAGCTGGAGTAGCGCTCCTAAGAGTTAGGCCTCCCTGCCAAGGAACCAAAACAATACCATGAAACGTAGTTAACCGGCAGCACAACTTAAATACCAAGTTATGAATACTCAAGGGGTAATGGGTATTTGGCAAGTAACCCGCGAGCTGGAATTTATTCACCCAAAACTTCCATACAAATAGCATAATAAAAATGCTGCAATGATCCAGGCGAAAGCTGCCAAATAAACTGTTCAGTGGGAATTGCTCACACAGCTCTGATCTACATAAAAGAACAAGACCAATAATTCTCTCGTCGCAGGTAAAGGAAAGCCCAATAGCACCACCTGCTGGTAAATCGTCCACACCGCAACCGGGGGTCACGAAATTCTGAAATAGCTATTTTAGCATTAATCCGGATTTTCTTGTATTAAGCGAGAGAAAGAGACACACACACACACACACACACACACACACACACACACACCCCTCTTCAGAAATTACCCAACATACAGATACAGCATGGGACAATGTCTCTGGATTTAAGGATGCACAATCTTCAGAACTGCAGACAAATCCATTAATAAAGCAAGTTTTAGTATTAAATGCAGACAAACTCAATTATGTAGTTCTGCACACACCATCTTTACATTCACAAATCACTGGAATCCATTCCTTTAAACCCATCTGTCACTAGAGGAACATATTTCTACAGTAAGAACCCCATGACCAAACAGAGAGATTGTTAAATTATATGAATTATCAACAGAAGACTTGGCATTACTCTCTCCAGAGGCCCCAAAGATAGCTGAGTTTCAACACACAGGTGTCAGCAGCATGCGATTGAGATTTTAGACTCGACTCTTGGAGGTGGTTACTTAGCATTCACATCTTTTGTTATTCCATGATCGTTTGGACAGATTGCAGAGGCCTGCAATTTCCAGGCCAACACATAATTCAGCCTTTTCAAGAGCAATAGCCACCGTTGTCAAAGGGATTGATTTCTGAGGAGGGATGAAATAAAAATCTGGACAGGGTGCCGTTCTAGAGCCAAGTGTTGCATGTATTGGGAAAGGGGAGAGAAAATGGTGATTACCAGGAAAATTGCAGAGAGAGTAAAATTGGGGCTCCAACCCGCTATCTGCACGATTTACAGTGAGCCAGCTGCTGAAATATGTATTTGGCCCATTGCCAGGATACTAGCTAACGACAGGGCTTTCTGCTGCACCCCATTAGCTTTCAGGAGGCGATGGACAGCTGCCAGCCCTAATGCACTTTGAAAGCAGAGAAAGGGACAGGGAGAGAATACAGAGATGAAAAGGGCTGGGAAAGAAGGAACGAAAGAAGCAGAAAGGACTGAAGAAAAGAGAGAGGAGGAGGAGGAGGAAAGCAGAAGGGGAGAGAAAGAGGCAGGGAAGGGGATTAAAGGAAAAGGGAGATGAGCTAAGGCTGCAAAGAGAATAATCAGAGGAAGAAGCGAAGGGTAGAGAGAAATGAGGGAGGTGAATGGCAGCTGGGGTACACAGCGGATACAGCTTGTAAACACTAGCAATGTATTCAAGACAACCTCGTCTTCCCCTTCCTCAAGCATTTTCACAAACATGGTTTCCACCCTGTACTTGTCCTGCTGGATGTGTATTACTCTAGATCCAATCCCTGAAACATTTTAATTGGAGATAGGCCTGAACTGGAAACACTGGATACAAACTCCCCTCCCCATCTCGGATGTTAACTCTGGGGTGAGCTGAACTTTGGAGCTGGGCAGCAAAATTCCGATCCATCCAATTTACATTCACCTGCCCATTCCCTCTACAACCCGCTGAACCTGCCCTATTCCCACCCCCTCCTCTTCACAACACAGGGTCCTACTTGTGCTGCTCCCCACGGGCAGCTCAGCTCTGGCAACACTCAGATTCAGCACCACTGCCTACAAACAATCACGGCACGCTTGGACCCAGCCGACCAGGAGCAGCAACAGCAGGATGGGCATCCACACCCAGAAAATGGACCAGAAGACTGTTCCCAAGCTTCGCTACACTGAAGCCTCACTTCACCTTGCCTTGCCTCTTGAAGACGGGAAGGAGGAAAAAACAGGAAGTCAGACACCACTGCAGCCAGGGCCGGCTCCAGGCACCAGCTTAGCAAGCAAGTGCTTGGGGCGGCCACTCTGGAGGGGGGCGGCACATCCAGCTATTTGGCGGCAATTCGACGGAGGGTCCCTCACTCCGTCTCGGAGTGAAGGACCTCCCGCTGAATTGCCGCAGATCGCGGCTTTGGGGGGGGGGGGGCTGCTTGGGGCAGCAAAAACCCTGGAGCTGGCCCTGACTGCAGCTACATTTTGCTTATTTTCTACTTCAGCAAATCTAATAATAATTTCTTTTTAGCTAAAAAGAAAAAAGTCTAAGAGACTTGCATTTGTTTGTTCACTTTTCCTGTGGAGAAAACTTCCCATGCAGCACATGAGATTTACACGACATTAAAAAGAAGTCCAACCCAACCAAAATTTTCGATCCAAAAACCCACAATTGCTAAGGAATTTGGGACTTCCCAGCTAGACCTTTGCTCTGTGACAGATGAAACCAAACCCTTCAGCCCATCAGCTCTGGGGACATTTGGGTCTAGGCTAGATTTCTCAGGTCAGGCCCATCTCTATAAAATATAGACGACATAATAGAGCTGGAGCAGTGTCTTCCCATCTTCTCTGAAATTTTCCTCAAGAAACTGTTCCGTGTCCAGCAATTTGCCCACTGCCTAGAGGCCCCAGAAATGACTGTACTTACAGCCGGAAAAGTCTGTTGGAAACTTCATCTATTTACAGGCCACTGAGTAGTGTCAATTATGGGCCCCTTTACCCACTTTCTGTAATTTAGGTTTCCTGAGCCCTCCCTGAAATTTGAGTCCCAACAGGATTTTCCTGGAGGAAACGGAATTTGAAGAGAACTGTAACATTGCCTGCTACCATTGTGTGATGGATAATTTACAGAACAGACAAAGAGACCTGTCTTACTGGGGTTTACCCATGATATGTAGTGGAAGTGAAGTAAGCACCATGGCTCTCTTATCAGCTGCTGAGCAGGAGGCAACAAGATTGAGCTGAGGAATGAATTTTATCTGGTGGCACCAGTCCCCATGGAGAGCCTGGAAGAGAGAGGAAAGACTTTGCTTAATGATACTGCAAGTCATAAACAAGAGCTCAGGGAGTTCATTCTTTGTCAGTGGGGGCTCAGCAGTGCCACTCCCATTCCGACATGCCGGGGTTCATGTACAGTTTGAAGACGACAGAAAAACGCCAGCGAAAAACAGAGTGAAATGTGAAGCTGAGGAACAATAAACACAGGAAAAGTGGGACAAGGAGCAGAGGCAGCAGAAAGAGGGAGAAGAGAAACATTAGGGTGACACACAGCAGAACCCCGAAAAGGGAAAGGGCATGGTATTTGATTGGATGAGTGCAGTTTTGAGTTAAGAGAAGATGGGTCATTACGCACATCAAGAAACGTGAAGAGGGTCATGACTTGGACATGGGGATTGAGAGGGTTCAGACCAAAGGGATCTTATAGACAAGCCTCTTCTGGGATCCAGGGAGCAGTGGGGCTTTGAATGTGCATTAGCCATTGTAGCGAGGGGATGTGGTCTCCCCCTCTGATTGATGGGGAGAGACCCACGACCGCCCCTTCGTGGGCAGAACCGGGACACCCGCGGCCACCCCACCGGAAGCAGAGGGGCGGGATAGGAACCGGAACTATAAAAGTCCGGCCCTCCAGCTCAGTTGGGGAAGAGCTGCCAGAGGAACAGGACGTCTCCCCCCGCTGCTGGAGCCCGGCTGCCGTACTGCCAGAGACCTGGAGGAGCTGCCGGAGCTGCCAGACACTGGGGACACTGAGGAGCTGTTGGGGCTGCCACTAGCTGTCTACCCCCGCGAGGCGAACGATGACCCCAGAACCCAGGTACCCCTGGACTGGGAGTGTAGCAAGGAGCCATGGGAAGCTGTATAGTGTTCGGCTGTGTGACTCACTGCAAGCTGGTCAGCGTGTTGTGGACAGATTTCCCCGCTGACCCAGTGGCGGACCACTCCATCGCCGTTAGGGCCCTGGGCTGGGATGCAGTGGAGTGGGTGGTCCTGAATCCCTCTACCCCCTGCCACTCCACCGTCAGGGGTGGCAGCCTCCCCACCTTTAGGCCAAGAGGCCTGCATTGGTCTGACACCCACCCGAGCTAGGACACCAGATGGTTTTGCTGACTCTCTCATCAGAGACCTAATCTTTCCTTAGATTGCTGAGTTGCTCTGCCTGACAGCAGGCCAAAGCCCTTCCACTGATTACGACCCTGTCCTGATTGAAGGTGCCAGGCCTAGAGATGTGCAACTACCACACCCAACTGCGGGCCAGACCCATTAACTATGTGCTGCCCCGCTCTGCCTGAATGTCAGGGCTACCAGACCCAACTGCTACCTGGCCTGAAAGCCAGGGCCTATTAACTGTTGGCTAATTCCCCCCCCCCGAACAGAGCCGCTCTAGGAGCATTACAGCGACTGACGGGGAGAGACCCACGACCCCCCTACTGCCATCCAGAATGGTCTGAATTGGCTGCTTGCTGAGCTGCAAGATCGTGAACGGCTGGCTGATGGAACGATACAAAACGACCCACGTGTAAGTCATTTTGGTTTGCAGAGCCTGCCTTCAGGATGTGTAAACAGCGCAGCCCCTCGTGGCACTCCACAGCCCATACTCCACCCCGACGGTGAGTCGACACAGGGAGCGGCAGCAGGTCCCAGAACCCAGCTCTACAGATTCAGACTCACAAAACTTGCATTACAGCACTAAGAATAGCTGTGTAAGAGTTCAGGCTCTGAAGCCCACCCCCTTCCTTAGGCTAAAGAGTCTGAGCTCCAGCCCAAGCTGCAACATTTATACAGCCATTTTTAATGCTATAGGGAAAACCTGGCAAGCCGGACTCTGTAGACCTGGGCTCTGAGACTCACCACTGTGAGCTGCTGCTCAGTGTAGGCACACTCTGAAAGGCCACAGTTCTTGGTCTACGAGCATCAGCAGTAAAGTTCACTTGGGCATCCCACAGACCTATTAATAATATTTGTATTATGGCAGCACCCAGAAACCCCACTGTGCCAGGTGCTGCACACACACAGGTAGAGGAGGCCTCTGCCCCAAAGAGCTTACAGATTAAGGCGGCGAACAACATACAGAGGCTGTGGGAAAGAGACAATTCTGATAGACATTGTACATAATTGCTTTTGAGTTTGTAATTTAATAAATATCAACTTTCCCCAACTTTCTTCAGGATAGGGAAGCAACAGGAATCTAAATAGGAGTGGGGTTTGTGCCAAAATGTATCTTTAGACAGAGAAACTCACCGGCACTCGGAAATTTCTGTATAGGCTGGCCTTTCCTTTCAGGAGAAGATGCACTGGGATTCTGGCTGAGACACCTGAGGGAGAAAAGCCATATATTAATCCTGACCCAACACTTGCCACATTTCTGAAAAGAAGTTGTTTTAATTGTGCTGAAGTGCACCTAAGGCAATCATAGTAGCCTAAACCCCATGCGTGACCTAGGCTATATAGTTTACAGGATAGCTAGTCACAAGGGACATTCATTAACGCCTGGAAGGATTACGTGATGTTTTCATAGATCCACCTTAAATGTCGAGACACAAGCATGGCACTAAAAGGTTTAAAGTGTTAGCTACAATCTAGGCTTAGGAGAAATATTAGCAAATGCATTCAAACAGGATATGAGATAAAAGATGAGGATTTGGATCCAGGTCGCATTTTATCCAACCCCTCAAAGTTCACAGATGTTCAGAGAAATGGTTCCAATTTGGCCCCATTTGTGTTTCAAACAAAGATGGACAAAAAAGAAAAAAAAGTTACTTATGTTACTGTAACTGGCCCTCTGAGATGTGTCATCTATGTACATTCCGCTCTTGGAGCGCATATGCCCACGCGCTTGAGATCAGTCTTTTGGCCAGCAGCATTCACTGGGACCACATGTGCCTAAGTGTCCTGATGCTCCCTTACCAAAGACGTAAGGGTGGAGCAGGCCCAACTGCCCCTCAGTTCCTTCCCCACTGCAGGATCCAGCTGTAAATGGCCTCCGTGGTAGTGGGGAAGGAGGCTGGGTCATGGAAGTACGGCAAGAGACCATCCTGGCTTAACCAGGAAATCTTCAATGATCTAAAAATCAAAAAAGAGTCCAACAAAAAGTGGAAACTAAGTCAAATTACAAAGGATGAATATAAACAAATAACACAAGTATGTAGGGACAAAATTAGAAAGGCCAAGGCATAAAACGAGATCAAACTAGCTAGAGACATAAAAGGTAAAAAGAAAACATTCTACAAATACTTTAGAAGCAAGAGGAAGACCAAGGACAGGGTAGGCCTGTTACTCAATGCGGGGGGGAAATAACAGAAAATGTGGAAATGGCAGAGGTGCTTAATGACTTTTGTTTCGGTTTTCACCGAGAAGGTTGGTGGTGATTGGGTGTCTAACATCGTGAATACCAGTGAAAATGAGGTAGGATCAGAAGAAGCTAAAATAGGGAAAGAACAAGTTAAAAATTACTTAGACAAATTAGATGTCTTCAACTCCTAGAATACTATTACTATGAAATGCATCCTAGAATACTCAAGGAGCCGACTGATGAGATATCTGAGCCATTAGCAATTATCTTTGAAAAGTCATGGAAGACCGGAGACATTCCAGAAGACTGGAAAAGGGCAAATATAGTGCCCATCTATAAAAAGAGAAATTAGGACAACCTGGGGAATTACAGACCAGTCAGCTTAACTTCTGTACCCAGAAAGATAATGGAGTAAATAATTAAGCAATCAATTTGCAAACATCTAGAAGAGAATAAGGTGATAAGTAACAGTATGGATTTGTCAAAAACAAATACTGTAGTGTCAAACCAACCTGATAGCTTTCTTTGACAGGGTAACAAGCCTTGTGGATGGGGGGAAGCGGTAGATGTGGTATATCTTGACTTTAGTAAAGCTCTGATACTGTCTCACATGACCTTCTCATAGACAAACTAGGGAAATGCAACCTAGATGGAGCTACTATAAGGTGGGTGCAAAACTGGTTGGAAAACCATTCCCAGAGAGTAATTAGTTGTTCACAGTCATGCTGGAAGGGCATAACTAGTGGGATCCCACAGGGATCAGTTCTAGGTCCAGTTCTGTTCAATATCTTCATCAATGATTTAGATAATGGCATAGAGAGTACACTTATAAAGTTTGCAGATGATACCAAGCTGGGAGGGGTTGCAAGTGCTTTGGAGGATAGGATTAAAATTCAAAATGATCTGGACAAACTGGAGAAATGGTCCGAAGTAAATAGGATGAAATTCAATACAAAATGGGAAATGACTGCCTAGGAAGAAGTATTGTGGAAAGGGATCTGGGGGTTATAGTGAACCACAAGCTAAATATGAGTCAACAGTGTAATGCTGTTGCAAAAAAAAAAGAACATAATTCTGGGATGTATTAGCAGGAGTATTGTAAGCAAGACACGAAAAGTAATTCTTCCACTCTACTCTGTGCTGATTAGGCCTCAACTGAAGTATGGTGTCCAGTTCTGGGCACCACATTTCAGGAAGGATGTGAACAAATTGGTGAGAATCCAGAGAAGAGCGACAAAAATGATTAAAGGTCTAGAAAACATGACCCATGAGGGAAGATTGAAAACATTGGGTTTGTTTAGTCTGGAAAAGAGAAGATTGAGAGGGGACATGATAACAGTTTAAGTACATAAAAGGTTATGAGGAGGAGGGAGAAAAAATATTTTTCTTAACCTGAGAGGATAGGACAGGAAGCAATGGGCTTAAATTGCAGCAAGGGAGGTTTAGGTTGGATATTCGGGAAAATTTCCTGTCAGGGTCGTTAAGCACTGGAATAAATTGCCTAGGGAGGTTGTGGAATCTTCATCACTGGAGATTTTTAAGAGCAGGTTGGACAAAACACCTGTCAGGGATGGTCTAGATAATACTTAGTCCTGCCATGGGTGCAGGGGACTGGACTAGATGACTTCTCAAGGTCCCGTCCAGTCCTATGATTGTATGATCTTAACAGTAATCATTCACAATTACCTAGAGATTAGAAAAAGTGGTGCATCAGGACAGACACCGAGGAACAGGGATGATTCTGGTTTTGCAAAACCTGCAACAGAGTTCGTTTTTTCAAAACCAAAACCAAAGTGCTTTGGATCTAGCCCTGCTTAGGGAATCAGGATGGTTAAGGAGCAAGTAGAGACCTGAGGGCCAAGACTCCTGGATTCTACCCTGACTCTGTGAGACTTTGGACGAGTCATGGAGAGTGCCATTTTCAGAGGGGCGAAGCACCTGGCAGCTCTCTGAAGTCAATAAAATCTCAAAGTCAGTCTCATAATACCACTGTGTTTGTAAAATGGGTAACACTTGCTCTTCCTCCAGGAAGGGCAATTCAGATAAATGCTCAGTCCTTGCTCATCTCTCCAGTAATACCAGACATGAGAACATGTGATTGTCCAAGCATAGCTATAAAGTATCTGTACCTGGCTTAGTTATATAGTGACGGACGTTGAAGATCCCATTTGCTAGAACGTCCAGCGAGGTGAAGATCAGAATGTTTCCTTTCACATCGCCAACACAAAATACTCCTTTGTACCCATCTGTCCTGACTCAGGGAGAAAGGAAAGAACACAGATCAGACCCCATGTACATTGCCATTTCAGGCAAGTATTAAACTAGAATGCTAGGGGGGGTCACAAATAGATAACCCAGTTTTCGAACAGGGCCAGCTTAACTGAACATGTATGTTCCGATTGGCTCACAGACACATGTAGTAAACACCCATCTTACGCACCTAAGTGCCAAAATGAGCATTCAGAGGCAGGATCTGGAGAGCCTATTTGAGAACTCATCTTTGGAAAGTGAACACCTAAATACCAGAGCCGTGCACTGGGCACAAGACAGATGTAGGAAGGAGGGCCTGTCGTCTCTCTGGAAGCAGCTTTTTTAAGATTGGCTGAAATTTTTTTTTCTAGGTAGTATCTGAAAGCTGAAATGTTGCTCTATTATACACAGCTGCAATTCAGATACAACAGTATTTATTTATTATAAGCATGAATTTGAATTAATAAAACTGACCATCCCAAACTCAGCCCCCTTGACAAAGTTTTAAGGATACATATCCTAAAACAGACTCCAGCAATTATCCAGTGATAACACTACACCCAGGCAACCTAAATATGGGGAAGAGGGAGGAGGATTCAATAGATTTTCCACTTGGCCATGTTTTTTGGTAGACTCCAATGTTCATTGAAGTCCCATGAGCAACTAAAAGAAAAACATTCAAGAATAATTTTCTGTCCATGATATTCACTGTCCCCTTGACATACATGACAGCACAAGCAGTATACCAGAGACAGTGACATTGAGATAAAAGACATGGAGTCCTCTGGGAGTTCTTGGAGGGACATAGAAGTGTCACGCCTACTGGAGGAGCTACACAAAACATATGCCCCTTGCAAAACACATTCTTGTTTTTAAAAAGATTCATGAGAAGTTGAAGAAGGTGTGTGTAAAAAACAAAAGAATAGGGTTTAACATCCCTAAACTCCTGTCACTACACTATTTAGTAAGAAAATAGAAAAGGAGAGAGTCTCACTATGTAAAGTAAGAGAATGTAGGTGACAAATCTGTGGCATCTCACAACTTGCCATTGTCTCTACAATATATAAGGTGGCCACTCAGAGCTTCACAGCAGCAGTAGATCTAGAACTCAGATCTCTTCTACTCCAAAGAGCACAGATCCATGGCCTTTAAGTGTTAGCCAGTACAGGGGCTGTGATTCAGTAAGCAATTCTCTCTCCATCCGGTAGAGGGTATCTGTGCACATGAACATCCCCCAGTTCATTACAATATAGTGTAACTCATTTCTCAAGTACCCTGCACAGCAGAGGAGCCGTGGGTCTGTGATGCGAGTATCTAGGTATTTTAAAATCGATAACAGCCTCTTTGGAGAAGCAGGTAACCTACCAGTAATCCAAGGCCGTAACACAGCTGTCAAGCTCAATGAGGGAAAAGAGCCTGTCACATTTGTTGCCACTGATATCAAAGAATTCTGTGCAACAGAAAAAAGAGAAATCCCATGAATCTCAAAATTAGCATCAACATCTTGATGTTTGGTGTTCATGCAAAGATAGACCTTTTGAACCTGTCACATGCATGTGTGTTTATTTAGACATTCTGCCATGCAAACATGCCTGTTGCTGAACAGGTATTCAACTGACCGACACTACTACATCCATACATAGCAGGACCTCATGCTCACTTCAGTCAATGGCAAGGCTTCCATTAACATCAGTGGTGCAGGATAGGGTCCAGATCTTCACAATGGGGAATGATTTGTCTCTATTTACCAATAATCTGATCAGTAGATGCTATCGCCAACAGGTTGATATTAGACAGACACACCATGTCAGTGACCCACATCTGCTGACTGGGCCGTCGTCCAGACTGGTCAAGCTACACAGAAGAGGAAACATACATTGAAAATCAAGTAACCCCAAAGTAGTTGCAAATCCCACTCAAAGCTCACGTAATAAAGCACTACCGTGCATCAGGCTTAAGCAGGATGTAAGCAATGCATAGGCCTTGGGCTCGCTGTCTGACCTGAGGAGAATTTCCCCTTAAGTTAGCAGCAGCTCTGGTATTTTCCACCCTGAATGAGAGCTCCAGACCAGCACTTATTTTTAAATAGGAAGAGTTTTACTGCTGAAATGATGGAAAGATGAGCTGAGACCAGGTGCTTCTGTTTAAAGAGATTCTCCAGGGAAATTAGTGAGCAATATCCCTTCCATGAGAAACAGTACATTTTCCCCTTATACGCCCTCAATATTAGGTTTGTTGAGAGTGCTGGCAATCCAGAAGAGAAGGCTTTGACCCCACCCTCAGTGCTAGCCGTGTCCAGCGTAGCACAGCACTGCCTCCCCACTGACTAAAGTGATTTGGTGATTTAGAAATACTTCATACGATGGGCAAAACTCTCCCCTCCGAGCCACACTGTGGGTCTCTCATCTGCAGTGGGGGGGGGGGGCTCTGTGATGCACCCACACTTGTGGAATCGCCACTCATGGCAATGGGATGTCACCCATACAGAATGAGCACTACATACGCAAAGGAGACATCGGCACTGTGAATACAAGCTCCATGAGGGCATGGGTTGAGACTCCCAGGGCGGCCACATCGACCTCATTTCTAGATGGCTAAATGGGAGGGTGTCATGGTCTGGGAAAGATTGAGAGCCCTGCATTATGTGGATTAGAGAGAGAATCTAGCCCTTCATTTCCATCAGGTTCATGAGCCATGTACCTGGACAGTGCGGAGCAGTTTGAACGTGTCACTCCAATAGAGTAAGATTCCATCCCTGCTGACCGTCAGGAATCGCCCTGACAGATTCCAACCACTACTTTTCTTGGCCTTTTCATCCCTGTCCATTGCCCGGCCCTGGCTTGGGAAAAACTGCACCTTGATGATTTCCTGGCCTTGGATCCTGAGCAAGGGAAAGGAGTGAGATAGGAGAAATAGAGCAGAATGGTCAGGAAGCAGAAGGGTAAGGTAGGCCTGTAAGAGGGCAGGAATGGAGCAGGTGGGAACACAAGGACTGAAAGCACTTAGCAGAAATTAGAAACTCAGGTCCCCGAGCTCAGGAGCTTTTGATGCAAGTTAAGTCAGTCTCAGCCTCACCCCGGGAGAGAGAGACAAGGCGAAGTGGTGGGAGTGGGAAGGAGATTTTCACACTATAAGGTTATAAGGTTGCTGGTGTTCACGCTGTGATGTCTCCAACCCCTTAGCACAAAGATACATTACAGCACATACAGAGAAGAAAATACCTGTCGGAGGGACTGGCATGTGTGGAAATAAGTTGAAACCCGGACACACCACGTGGGATGTTTTTTTCAAGCTGGCCACAAACTGTTAGTTCAGATGGGCCGAGCCTTTGCGTGCAGCTTGAAAACCCCTGTATTAGACAGGACACACTAGACGATCATAGGGTTAAGATCAGAAGAGACACTATGACTGAAGTATTTACAGTGCACCCATTTCTGAGAGGCCTGGACAAATAAAGGGACAGGTGGTCTTTTGTTAACACCCTAGAAACTGAAGTCAGCCCAGAGTCTCCATGGCTCTGGAGCATGCTTCCCCAGAATTTGCTAGCCTTCAGTTCATGCTGCAAAGCTCATCTATACCCAGGCTCTATCCAGGTAGGAAGGAAAGGGGATGCATTGGCTGGGGGGAAAGTTTTGGCTGGGCTGGAGAGGATTTGAGTTCAAACAAAATTGAGTCAGAAGCAAGCGTGCAAGAGAAGTTAGCCATATTTCACCACACTCGCTCTCAGTTATTCATCATAGCACCAACCCCAAGTGGTATCACACTGGCAGGTCTGAGAAAGAAGCAACTCCTCACTTTTAAGTGACCCCCCAGAGAAGGGAGTGTTGTCGTTTCTCATGTTCAGGTTTGTTGCTGTAACAGCAATAAGCTAATGCGTCCCTAGTTATACTCACAATATCCTACTGAGACTGATCAAATACTGACGGGAATTCATCTCAAGCAGCCATTTCACCTAGGCTATAATCTTTAATAGAGGTTGTTCCTTAAATGATTAGAGGCTAGTTTATTAAGCCAATTTCATATGGGAAGATGCGCACGTTTGCCACTTGCTGTTAAATACCTGATTTTAAAAAAAGACATTTTTCGCAGCTAGGATGTCACAAGAACACTAAACTGGAACACAAATACATGCAGCTTTAATGTGGATCACTCCTATGGCTAAGAGCTTACACTGGAATGATTTTCATGGGTGTCTGAAATAGCAGAGGAGATTTGCTTTTCAGCATGTCATCCTTTCCTCTGTACTCTCGCAATACATAGTTCAGATATTCTTCCTGGGAGAGAGAACAATTTCATCAGCACCGCATAAAAAGGAGGGCAGAATTAATTATCTCAAGTTCTGTGGTGCTGACAGATACAGCAAGAACTATGGCAAAGATAACAGGAATAGCAGGAAACACTGCCTTCCCCCAACGTTAAACCAAGGTAAATAAAAATCAGGAAATTTTTGCAACTGCTACACAACCACCATTCTCTTTGATTAGAGCATAATATTACCCAGCCCACGGAGCCATCACAATCCGTGTCAATTTTCATAAATATGATATCAATATCTTCTTCAGTAATATTGTCCATTATCTTCTTCATTGCCTTGCGGAACTCCTTAATATCCAGCCCTGGGAGAATAAGCACAGTATATTCAGCCCTAAACTTTTCCAGATAATTATGTCTATTGAAAAAATAGACTGCACATCAAAATGGCAATTAAGCATCAAAAGCAATCTCCCAAAAAACACAATGAGGGCAGATTTCTCGATAATTTGTGCATACAAAACAACGCACGCAATTGGGTATCTAATTTGCTCACTTACACAGTTGCAATAAATTGCAACACATCGCTGTGTACAAATGCTTATAAATTAGCTGTTTACATATGCAATTTCCCAATCTGCATGCACATCTGCAGTAGTTGTGCACACTGGTAGGCACCTAATAAGTGCAGAACTTCTTTGAAAGTCTGGTCCTAGGCAAACAGATTTTTGAACAGGGGCCCCTAACTAAGATTTTCCTAGAGTGCCTGAACCTGAGTCAGAACTTGGAGCAATGCAAGGCTTAACTTATGCTCATAAAGAAATCAAGATTTTCAGCTGGAAGATGCTATGGAAGTATTAGTGTCATTATTACAATATGTGATTTTACCGTTTAAACCAAACCTAATTAGAGAGTGGTAAATTTGTTCTCTTGACTTCCTGAATATTAAGTTTGACTTCTGTACCACAGAACTATGGGACACAAACCTACATCTAACAGCTGAGGAAGAGGAAATCTGTGTCTGCTTCACCATACAGAAACCCAAAGCTAATCACAAAGAATGGGTGATATAGACTCGCTGTGAGAGGTAAGCTGGAGACCTCTTCAGTGGAAAAACGCAGGTCCAAACTGACGAAGCTTGAAGGGACTAATTCTGGTGGATGCTGTTGTGTAGACTGCATGCTTCCTAACAGCAACAGAGACAGCTATGAAACTAAAAAAAGTGACCAAAAGAGCACAGTTATCTAGAAACTGAAATGCTTTGGGAAATGCTCCATCATCACCTCCACCCTTGTCTAAGTCCGCTTCCCGGAATGATCGCTCCAATTTTTGCAAATGCTCATAATTGATCTGGTCCTCAACTTGCTGTGCACGGGAGGTATCAGTGGATTCTGGGAACCTCAGTATTTGTTTGGGAGATGAGCAGCTTGAGACAGATTTGCTCTGAAGTCCAGTGAGCTGAAAAAACAGTTAGGATCAAGAACAGCATGTGCAGAGCTTTTATTACACCCAAGAGAGCCCTCTTTACTCATGTCTTACATAAATGGGGCAAGAGCAGGAAGACAGTAAACATCTTATAAGCAGTAACCTTATGAGAGCATATACAGATAAGCAGAGAAACGGACCCTGCCCAGAAGACCTTAGAAACTGAAGGTCCAGTTCTGGAAACTCATGGTCATGGAAGTAGTCCTCACTATTGATAGTAGCCCCACAGACTTCAACAGGGGTAAATCCATGACAGTGCAGAAACTCCACACAAGGTCTTATGCACCACAACTCTCACTTAAGCCCCATTTCATTACTACAATATCATTAATTTTAAATCACTTAAGAAATACAGGACCCGATTTATAGCTGCCACCAAGCAATTACTTTACATAGAGGGCTTCGTTGGCTGGGGTACAGCTGGCGTAGCTAGCGCTCTGCCATCCTCGGCAGGAGACCCTGGCCCAAGGGGCATGGCAAAGGCAATCCCAGAAACAAGCAGGCATGGCTAAGCGCTGTCGATTCCCAGTTGCTACACTGGCCCATTTGTCACAGCCAAGCTGGGTGCAAATCAGCCCAGCACTCAGGCTGTTTCAATCTGTGCTGCAAGCTGAATAGGCCCCTCGCTGGTCCAGGAGAGGAAAGGCGCAAAATGAGCATCAAGCCAACATTCCCTGCACCCGCTCAGCAACGGCACAGAGTTTAGCCCCAAAGCCAAGATCAACTGGGCACATTGGGGTTTAAAAGCAGGAAACACTGTGGTAAGTTTCAACTTTAAAACAAAATATTTTCCTTCCCCATCTGATACCTTAAGGTAAAGGTATAACCATTAAAGCTTGCTTTAAAAAAAAAAATTAAAACATGACTAGCAGTTCTTAAAGTCATTTAAATCTGAGAAAAAAAATATAGCTGGATGCAGATATTAGGGGTCACCAAATTCTGCACTTGAGAAAAGCAAGGGGGGGAGGAGATATAGCTCAGTGGTTTGAGCATTGGCCTGCTAAACCCAGGGTTGTGAGTTCAATCCTTGAGGGGGCCATTTAGGGATCTGGGGCAAAAATCTGTCTGGGATTGGCCCTGCTTTGAGCAGGGGATTGGACTGGATGACCTCCTGAGGTCCCTTCCAGCCCTGATATTGTATGATTTAATCTTCCAAAATATTGATGTGTACAGTTAAGAAAATAAGATCACCACATCAATCCTGGTCCATTTGCATTTTAGGAACATCTGATAACAGCCCTTTTCCATATAACACTGTGTCCATCAATACCATTACTGCTCATTTACCTTTTGCCCCATTTGATAGTGTTTAAGGCTTCCTTCATCTTCAGAATCGTTGTCTACCCTGAAATTTTAAACAGATAAAATGTAGCTGTATTTGCTTTGGGGGTGGGAGAGAGATTGTAATCATTAATAAGGTTGCAAGTTTTTCAACCCTTAAAATGGCTATTCAGGTATTAATATTTGTATTAAAGTAATTCCAGTATAAATTAGTGTAACCTGAAGTAGGAAACGACACTCTCTATACTGCTTTAGGTACTACGATGTCAGTAGTTCTTACTGCGGAGCTATGTAATCCTGAACTCACATCCTGGTAGCTATGGAAGGGTTTGATCATAAGAGGTGCTAAGCACCTTGAATTGAAGTCATTTAAGGCCTGATTTTCAGACATATGCAGAAAGTCCAGCTAAAGTCAATGGGAGCTGCATGTGCAGGCCCTTATTGTTTTACAAGTTTGATTTAACCCTTACAATGCCCAAGAAGGTAGAGACATTTTTATTCCCATTTTACAGATGGGGAAATTAGGAGAGAATTTCAATGCACTTACACACTAACTCACTACATCATCCTAGCAAGGAGGAAGGCTGGATTAAGAGAAGGGGTTACTATACTGGAGGGTGACTCAGAGAAGCAGCAATAAATGAACTAGGTATTGTGAAAAGCAAAGTTCCTTGGGTGTCCTGTCTTTCATCACTCACCATGCCACAGAGGGATGAATGCTGATCCTATGAGTCTCTGAGCCCATGAAAGAGCTGCTCAGTTTCTCAGAAGTAGACATTCTCCCTGTTCCTGCTGTGTATCCACTGGGGACTTCCAGCCCAAGGCCATCAACAGACTTAACTATGATGTCACCTTTGGATTTGTGACTTCATCCACAGAACTTCAGGCAGACTGCTTTCCCCAGTCTCTGTTGGAAGGGGTTCTCTTCCTTAGAAAGACTGGATGGAGGTCTCCATGCCAAGAAGCCACCGAGCAGCCCATTTCTATCCCTCTCCCTCAAAGCAGCTGGATGGGGAGAGGGAATTCCTCTTCAATTGCTCCATAAGGAGCACACACATGCGCACGTATGCACCAGAGATGACTTGAGGCAGGGGCTCTACAAAGGATCCATAGAACACAAGAGAGGAACATGGCAGAGGCCATTTCCAGGGATTTCCTTTTCCTGCTCTTTTCAAGGGCTGCTAGGAGAGCAGTCTCTGCAACGGATCCAGAGTCAGGACTCCCATTGGTCTTTGTCATTAAACCCGCCCCTCACCTCCCAATGGCGGGCGGGATGATTGAGAGAAAAACAAGCTGAAATGAGGTTTGTATTTAGATTTGTTGAGATGATCTCATCTCAATTGTTCCTCCATTTTAGGCCAACCTGCTGCTTGTTTATTTGATATAAAATATTGAATCATGAAGTTGAGGTTATATTGAGATTTATGTTAATATAATCCCACATTATTTAAAGCTTCCTGGATAACTGTTCTTGTAGCTCCCATTAGAACAGCAGTAGATTCACAGAGATCCTGGAAGATTAAGAGGCAACCAGTTTATGAAGCTACTTTGCACAACGACATCACTCTTCCGGGGCCTTGCTGAAATTTCTTGCAGACCTCAGAAAAGCACCCTCAGTTCCTGTTTTCTACATTTCCTGACAGGTCAGACACAGATTTTTAAAAGGCTGCTGTCTGAAAGCTAGCCAAGCTTACTAAATGACTGAGAAAAAATTGCTTTAAAGAGACAAGCATGTCTTCTGACAAACACCAGTGTCTTCCAGATCACGTCACGATGGCCTGCAGGCAAAGAATGGGTTTGTGCCAATATTTTACTTCTATACCATGTAGAAATATGGTGGCTGCTTCAACCTTAAACAAAGGGGTTTTCCCTTCACCTTAGTAATATCAGGAAGGTCAAATTTAGCTTTGTACCTGTTTGGGTTGAAGCCTCTCTCAGACAACACCGACTTGTGCCTTGGAAGTTCTTAGCCTCTAGATAAAGATTCAACACCCACATCCTTTTCACAAATAATTTTTTTCTTCCAACTATTAATTCAGCTATTTGAGTGAAGTAGGGGTATCCAAAATGAGTTTTAAACCTCCCATTCCCTTGTCTAATATGAAAGCTATAGGTTTTACCCGGGGTCTCTCCAATTTTTGGTAGGTATTGCTATTGAGGACATCACACATATCCCACTCTCCAGCTCCAACCACCAAATACCAAGGTCTTCACCCATCCCAACTGGAGAATATACTGTTCAACATATTCATACATGATCTGGGAAAGGAGGTAAAGAGTAAGGTGGCAAAGTTTACAGATGATACAAAACTACTATCTTGAGTAGCTGCTGACTGCAAAGAGTTACAAAGGGATCTCATGAAACTGGGTGACTTGGCAACAAAACGGCAGATGAAATTCAAAGTTGATAGGTGCAGAGAACATACATTGGAAAACAATCTCAACTATACATATAAAATGATGGGGTCTAAATTAGCTGTTACCACTCAAGAAAGATTTTGGAGTCATTGTGGCTAGTTCTCTGAAAACATCCACTCACTGTGGAGCAGCCGTCAAAAAGGCAAGCAGAAAGTTGGGCATCATTAAGAAAGGGATAGATAAGAAGACAAATATCTTATTGCCTCTATATAAATCCATGATACACCTACATCTTGAATACTGTCTGCAGATATATTGGAATTGGAAAAGGTTCAGAAAAGGGCAACAAAAATGATTAGAGGTATGGAATCTCTCCATATGAGGAGAGATTAATAAGACTGGGACTTTTCAGCTTGGAAAAGAGACTGCTAAGGGGGGATATGATTGAGGTCTAATAAAATCATGACTGGTGTGGAGAAAGTAAATAAGTGTTATTTACTCATTCTCATAACACAATAACTAGGGGTCACCAAATGAAATTAATAAGCAGCAGGTTTAAAACAAACAAAAGGAAGTATTTCTTCACACAACGCAGTCAACCTGTGGAACTCTTTGCCAGAGGATATTGTGAAGGCCAAGACTATAACAGGGTTCAAAAAAAGAACTGAAATTCATGGAGGATAGGTCCATCAATGGCTATTAGCCAGGATGGGCAGGGATAGTGTCCATAACCTCTGTTTGCCAGAAGCTGGGACTGGGTGACAGGGGATGGATCACTCTATTGAATGTCCATGTTTTGTTCATTCCCTGTGAAGCATCTGGCACTGGCCCCTGTCAGAAGACAGGATAATGGGCTACATGGACCATTGGGCATACTGGGTCAGACCATTCTTAGGAATGAACCCCTAAAGCCGACTGGTCTGTGTAAGTGTTTTATCCTAAGTTTTCAACACACACTAGGAAGAAAAACTGCCCAGCTGTGAGACCAAAGGGCTAACAAGTCAATAGAACAGTAGGATCACCAGATGACCACTAACATCAAGCTTCCCCCTCTCAGGGCAGGAAGATCACCAAGGTTCACCATTGAGAATCAGGAAATGAAGCCCATAAAAAGAAAGTGAGGATGTCAGGGGGACAAAGTATGCCTTGAACCCATCCAATAACAGCACAAAGGCTTTTCATAGGAATATGCCACCATGGTAAAGGAAGCAGAGAACTTTCTATTCGGTCATCACAGCTGGCAGAAACTACCCCCATCTAATAAAACAAGTGGCTGCGGAATCCAATCATGGGCCCCCAAGCACCAGTCCTAACTCCCATCCCAAAGAACTCCCATCCTAACTTCACAGGAATTGTTAATGAGCAAGAGGTGTTGCTAGACCACCACCTTTCATAAAGCTCTTCCACCATAACACAGGGAGAACAAGACACAGACACTGCACTAATCCTGAGAAGAGTCCTATAACCAGGGAAGGGAGAAAAGCAGTAGAATGCATACAGGCCATTAGGGATCCTCCACCAACACATAATTTATCTGGATAAGAGCTCAGGTTTTTAAGTACTTTCGAATCTTCATATGTCAAAACCCAAAGATGATCTGCAAAGGGAAAAATTAAGTTGTTATCTTTCAAAGATGGAACTCTGAGAATAATCTTTGAATCAATTACACCACCCAACTTGTAAGAAAAAGCAGCAAGGGAGAAGGGGAAAAAAACCCTCAGCCATGATTTTATACCTGGCAATTCTAAGCTGAAAGCATCACATCTAAGCTATGCTGCTCTGGAACCCACATCACAGTTTGTTTAGGTCTCTGACATTTAAGACTTCAGTTTGCTCCTAGTTACATACAAACTGCTGCCATCTTTTGTAACAATACAATGAAGCTGCTCTGGAAAGTCAAGCAATTTCCAAAAACAAGGGACCGGCACCCTCTTTTAACAGAAATGCAGTAGGAATTTATCTTACAATGACTAGGTAGGCTGCTGTCACCCTCTGCTCCGTATCACAAGACTATAATCCACATGGCAGGCATCTGTTTAAGAGCCCTATTCTGCCAGAGTAGATGTATTGCAGACCATGCGTGGGCAGTATTAGAAGACTTCAGTACTTACACATTATGTCTTCAGTGCGGTAGAAGCAATCTGACTACAGTTTAAGAGTTTCCTGCACAACGGGCTAAGGTTCTTTTCTTAATTGCACAAGTGTAGATGAGCTGTTTACACTAATGATGGGAATAGCTGCATAATTTTCATTACTAAGCTCAGAAATTCATAGAGCATTGCAGTGTGCCATTTTTCTTTAGAATTATGTAAGTCTTCAGGACCCAGTTTAGTCAGAGCACTGTACAAACAATTCCCAGCTCATCCTCCAACCCTCTGAGATATAGCTCCATCTTAGTAAGCACAGTAGAGGCGGGAGAAAGCTATGATCAGAACTACTTCCTAGCTCCCAGCAGTGCTCAAATCACCAGGCTATGACGACCCCCAAGTACTAGTTCAACTTCAGCCAATTCTATAAACGTGTTATGTGTGCTAACATCAAAAGCAAAAACAGGATATCATTTGTCAGTGCAACAGTGGTCACATTAAATATTAATAGACAAATGAGTGATGTAAATTCTTGGCTTTTATTTGGAGCCTTTTAACAGTTACAGTAAGAATTGTCATTGCAAACCAGGAATTTTGAAAAGATTGAACAATTAAGTTAAAAAAATCTGAGTGCACACCTGTAAGACACCCTGGGTACAGAAAGACAGATATAAGCTTTTGGTTGTTCCATTTTGTTTGTTTCAGATAACCGATAAAACTAAATCTAAGAAAGGTTGGTTGTTTTCTGAAATAGTCATTCCAGCAGAAAAGCACTTAACATCTATCAGCCAATGCTGTACCAGGTCAGAGCAGTCACTTGAGTTTTAAGTTTATTCTGGTTATCTGCTTTCCAGCAAGGAAATAATAAAAGACTGCCCAAAAAGTCTATGATACAATCTTGTAAATAAGTTACCTGTATTATGAATTTCCAAATTCTATTTATGACTTGTCATTTCTTGGTATATTAGGGAATGATTCAGCAATCTGAAATTTCACAGGACTTTGACTTGCAAGATTCAACGTTTCCACATTGAGTTGTGGTCAATTTTGTAGTCAAGGAGCACCAGTACTATTTCTACGATTCCCATCATTCCTTCCTTTTTAGCATAAGAGATTTGTTTGCTTTTGGCAGAAGCAGAGGTCAAATTGATCACAGCGCAACTCATCTAGTGTCATGGTAACCCTGGATCCATCCTTGCTCCTCACCAGGTGGGATCTTGCGATACAAAGGTGAAACCCCAATGATCCATAGCACGTAGCTGACCCTTCACAAAATGTGGAAAGCCTAAAAATGTAATTTCCCATGGCAGGCAGGTCCCACACGCCACATGTT